TCAGGGATGTGCACGGCTCCTGCGTCCTTGCTGCTTAGCAGCCCTCTCCTTGCCCACTTTCCCAGCAATTGGGAAAGGAGGGAGAGCTGACGGAGGTTTGCCTTTGGAACTTCTAGACCCTAATCTCTCACCTCCCAGCCCAGGGTGCTCCTTCACCTGCATGGTCTCCAGTCTGGGCCGCCTCTGCTCTGCCTACTGTGCCAATTTAGACTTGTAGCCCAGAGAACTCCAGGCTCTCTGCTCACCCTGACACCCGCAACTTCAAAGCAGAGAGATTCATTTGGGCTCACGGTTTTTAGGGTTCCATGCATCGGTGGCTGACTCCAGGTGGAAACAGCATGGTGGAAGGACCCGGGAAAGGATAGTGGCCCACTCCATGGCAGCCCAGAAGCAGAGAGAGGGGAGGAGCTGAGCACAAGACACACCCTTTACAGGCATGCACTCAGCCCCTGACCAGGCCCGCTTCCCACCACACGAGACTTCTGGGGGACAGTTTAGATCGAAACCACCACTTCCAAACAAAATGGAAAACTTGGGTAAAATCAAAATCTGTACAGGACTTTCATGTTGAAAACTACAGAAAGCTGATGGAAAAAAAAAAAAAAAAACAAAGGTCTAAGCAGAGACATAGCATCTTCACGGATTCACAGGAAAGATGGCAATTCTCCCCAAACTGATCTAAACATAGTGCGATATCTGTCAAAATCCAAGCAAAGGTTTTCATAAATAAGTTTATTTTTACAAGTGTACAGAAAGGCACAGGACCTAGATTTAAATAAGTCTAAAAAACAAGAAGGTAAGAGGAACAGCTGTCCCCAGTGCTCCACTTACTTATTACAACGTGACACTGTGACGCTATTACACTGTGACGCTGGAGAGGGACAGACACACACATCAGTGGATATAAAACATAGCCAAGAAACAGAAACATGACATTGGACAAACTTGAGAAAGCAAGTCAATCAAGAAACAGTGACATTTTCAACAAGTTCTGCTGGAGCAAAGGTCACATCCACAGCCAGAAAAATGAAATTTGACCGAATTCACACCCCGCGTCTCACACTAACCTCACGAAATGAACATGGGCTGGGTAAATGTAAATGGAAAACTATAAAACTTTTAGAAAATAGACATAAGATAAATGTTTGGAACCTAGAGCTAAGAGTTCTTAGACTTGATACCAAAAATGTGCTCAAGAAAAGCCGGGGAAGTGACACACTGTACCTCATGCAAAATTTAAAACTCTAGTGAGAGACCTTCTTAGGGAGATGAAAAGACAAACCACAGGTGAAAAACATCTGCACGCCACATGTCTGACAAAGGACTTATATCCAGAATATACATGAAAAATTATTAAAACTCGGACTAAAGGAACGATTCTAATAGGACATTTAACCCCCAACACATAAAAAGATATTCAATAGTGTTAACTATTAGAAAAATGCTGTGCCAGTTAAAACCACAATGAGATGTGGTTAAAGCAGAAAGCAGTGATAATGCCAACACTGGCAAGGCAGAGGAACGGGGGACCCACATACTACCAGTAGGAATGTAAAATGCCAGGCCACCGCTCCAGAGTATGACAGGTTCTTACGAACTGTCCTTCGGTCCCTGTGTTACACTATCAGGAGGTGGAAACCTTTGAAAGCTGGGCCCTGTGGGCGGTCTCAGATTCCTGGGAACACGGCCTTGAAGAAGACTGTGGTCTTGTCCCCTATTTCTGTTACTTCCTGGCCTCCGTTAGGCAAACTGTTCGTTCTACCACTGCTCCTTGCCATGATGCAAGGCCTTAACCATGGACTGAAACCTCCAAGACTGTGAGCTAAAAATAAAACTTTCCTCTCTTTTGTGGTCCTGGGATCTGCACAATGTGGTAGACAAGAGGTCTGCCACTGAGCTGTACCCTCAGCCTCCTTTCTTGGCTGTTAAATGGATTACCTCAGATATTTTGTTACAGTAATGGAAAGCTGACTAATGCATGCAATTACCATCCAACCTCAGAGTGCTACTAACAGTAAAAAGGAATTAACTTGATTCACAAAACAACATGGACAGATCTCACAATTACGCTGAGTGGAAAATACTGGTCTCAGATATACACTGTCTGGTTCTAATTATATACTATTCTTGAAATAATGAAATTAGAGGTTTAGAATAGATAAATGGTTGCTAAGGATTAGGAAAGAGGAAATACGATAAAAGGGAAGCATGAGGGATCCTTGCAATGAAACCATGTATATCTTGGCAGTGATCAAACTGCATACATATATTTAATAAACATATAAATCTGGTGATACCAAATAAGGTCAGCAGATTGCACTCACCTCAGTTTCTTCAATTTCCTGTGGTGATCCTGCACCACAGTTATGCACATTATTACCTCAGGGAAATTTTGGTGAGGGGGATATCAAAGTTCTCTGCATCCCTTCTTACAGTGACAGATGACTATCTCAAATATAAGCATTTACAATTTTAATGGTAATAGCTGGCACAAGAAGACAGTAAAAATAAGCCACCTTATTGTAATTTTCATTACAAATAAAGAATGGAGCAACTCTTAATTTTGTATTTTCTCCATTTTTTGGTATGGAATCATTTGGTATCACTGATGGATTGGACTAAACACAAAATCAGGTTGAGGGTGGAAATACCAGGTAAGAGAAAATGACTCTCCTGGGTGCAGTGCCTGATCCCTACAATCTCAGCTGTCTGGGAGCCTGAGGACTGCAAATTCAAAATCAGCCTCAGCAACTTAGGAGACTCCGCCTCAAGCTAGAATAACAAGTGCTGAAGGTATGGCTCAGTGAGAGGGTGCTTGCCTAGCATACCTGGGTCCAATAGTCAGTGCTGCAAAAAAATATATTAAAAAAAATAAAAGAGTGGGTGACTCTAGCATTCAGACCAGGACCAACTCCCTTCCTATGAGACCCATAGCCTTTTCCTGGGGTGCCTCTGGTAAACCAGAGGTCCTAATAGAACGTGGTCATGTCACCACGGCAAGGGCCCCGTGACCTCAGAAACCATTTGAGCCTTCACACTTGGCCTCAGCCAGTGCCCTTTGCACACGACCAGCAGGTAAGAGTGGGTCAGCTTCAGGGTGCAGTTCCCCAGGGGGCCGTGAAAGCACCACACAGGGCTCATCGGTGTTGTCTCAGGTGCCGAATGTGTTTCCCGACGAACGCCAGGGAGTGGGAGGGAGGTCCGTGGATCTCCAGATGAAGGGGGCCGCGCAGAGGGGACTAAGAACAGGTCTTGAGTTTATGGGAAGAGGGAAAGGGAGGGAGTGTGGGCGAGGAGGAGTCTGAAGTGAATTCGCGGGAGGAGACCCGGGGACAGTGGCATGCACACTCCCGTTGTATTTCTACATCAAGCCTCGAGTGCCATGAACTCACAGTGGTTCCTAGGGCTACGGAGGTTGAGTTAGGTCAGGTCACCCAGCCGATCCTATGCAATATGTGATGGAATCTCGGTGATAGCCACTCTTCCTTTGAGCACTTGTCAGGCACACATTCTGATGCCAAATCCTAAGTGCTGTAGCTACTATCAAGGAACAAATCCTGGAGAAGTCACTGCGACCCAGGCTGAGACCCTCCTGCCAGCTCATCACCAGCTCCAAGACGCTATGTGCAGACAGCACTGTCTTTTATTCTGCTCCCTCTTTTAAAGTTTTTGTCAGTTTGGTTGGTTTGGGTTTCTGAGACAGGATCTTGCTATGCAGCACAGAACAACCTTGAGCTTGTGATCCTCCTGCCTCAGCCTCTTCAGTGCTAGGACTACAAGCATGCACCACTAAGCCCATCTTAACATTTGCTTTGCTGGTCACATTCTACCTCTAGAAGTCAACCTGTGTCCAAAACCTGTGTCTGAAATCATCCTTTATTCAGAGAAAAGCATTCAGTCAAAGATGAGTGAAGAGATGCCTGCATTCAAAAAGAATTTTCATAATCATCTAAAATTTTATCTTTAATTAGCATTATTCTAAACATAGAAGGAAGCACGTGTCTCAGATTCAATTCTTTCCTGTGCTTCCCCTCCGGGAACAAATCCATAGGGCAGGCAGGGGACGCTGGCCTCTCGGAGTCGGCCTGCAGGCAAAGTCCGCTCCACAGAGGCCTCTGCTGAAACCTTGATGCAGGCATAGCTCTTTGCACTCATTTTTATTTTCTGACTTATGCAAGTCAGGATGTGGAAGATCCGTAAAACCACCTCATCAGCGGTGAAGATCTCGTAAGGTCCCGACAGCTCTTCTGGAAGCCTGGGGCACATGGCAGCTTCCCCCTTCTGACCCGGAGCTTGAAGCTGGAGCCGGTCCTTCTTACAGAGCAGCTTTCCTATCATCCAACCCAGAAGCCATGGGGACAGACAGACAGTCTCAGGTCATGGGCAGAAACAGATTATTTTAAAGTGTGGCTCTGAAGACTCCTCTGCAGCAGACATTCGTACTTTAGTTATTGAGAGCAAGCCTCATTTTGGTCAGCCCAGGCTGCCAGGACAAAATACCACAGCTCAGCTTTCAGATTTGCTTTGTACAGTTCTGGAGGCTGAGGTCCAAGATCATGGTGCCAGAGTCTTCCTGGCTGGGGACAGCACAAGGACACGTGCAGTCCACAGCACTTCCTGCTTCCTGCTGAGCAACTCTGCACTCGGGTGTAAGCTTTCGCTGGGGGTGATCGCTGTCTGGCTTTGTTTTGAGACAGGATCCCACTCTGTAGTACAGTCTAGCTTTGAACTCTCACTTGTACCAGGCTGGCCTCAAACTCACAGCGATCCTCCTGCCAAAGCCTCCAGAGTGCTGGGACTAGAGGTGTGTGCCACCACACCTGACATATCTGGCAATTTTAGAACAATTGTGACATCTTAGTCACAGGTGCTGAAAGACATTTCATGGCGGTAGAAACTCGGCTTTGTGGCTTGGACACTTCGCCTGAATGCCACAGTACAAAGACTCCGTCAGTCTCTGCCACTCTACTTTCTAAAGTTCGAAACTAAGCAATCGAGAATTGTGAAAACAAACCAAAAAAACTTTATTTACAAAGCAAATTCTAACTTACTTTTATGTATCACAGAACGTGAACATTGACACCAACAGATGCGCTGGAATATTTAAAACACAGTGAGGTGTGTACAGCTCACTCCCCCCGTCTGTGAGGACAGAGCCAGGGCACTCCTGCAGCTCTGACATTTGGTCACGGTTTGGTGGTCGAGTTTCAGGGAGGGTCGGGCCCCAGATGTCATCACATAACCATGGGCTGTGGATTTCCCAGGAGCAAAGGCGCCAATCTCAGCAGAGCTCGCACCGGCATCTTCAGCTGCTTAAATTTGAAGAGGAGTTCAGCAAAGCTTGTGCTCCCTAAAAAAACAGAAATGGGGGGAAAAGGCCACATCTCTAAACAAGGCCAGCAGTACAGCCCTTTCTGAGACCTCCCGGGAGGAGAGCGTGTTTGAAGCAGGCATCCTTCCCCTGGCTTTGTGACGGTACCTAATTATGAACTCCCCACTCCAATACAGAACCTAATGTAAAAATTCAGATTTACCCATTCTGTACTTTGGAAAGTAACCTCTGTGAAAACTCAGAATACTCAAAACCTCTGGTTTTGTTTAGTTATACACATTATTTAAATTGAGTGTTTAGGAAATGCACCCAGCCACCTTCAATTATGTTTTTTTCTATCAATTACTTTTTAAGTGATTTTTGAAACTGCTTCCTTTCTACTCCATGGGTTCAGTCCTAAGAACACAGGCTGAAGGTGGGTAACAGAAGTTAATCCACTGCCTCATCCTCTAAGAAGGTCCCCAGAGACCACAGGTCACCTGTCTGGGTTTTGCCCGGGCATCGAAGGTTTTGAAAGCTACTCTAATTTTTGTAACTCTCACAGTGGTTATCGCAGGGCAGACAGTTCAATATAAGCAATTCCATCATGGCCACAGCTACAAGGCTATATATAAAATAGTAATAGCAGTAATAATAAAATGGATTTTTATCTGAGGTTTTCAAACCAATAATGTCACTAAACTGTAACTGATTAAATCTTTATCCTTCTCAAAACTATTTTTTCACCTGCAATTAATGGAGAGCAATAAAGGGTGTTTGGGATTCATTGTACTTTATATGTTTCCATATGCTAAACAATAGACGCTAAAGTTAATTTTTTATGCTCTACCATAAAAAAATTTAAACACGAAGTTAGGAAGTTGTTAATTTGAAAGTTTTATAAAAGTTAAGGGGCTGGGGATTTAGCTCAGTGGCATAAGCACCTGCCTTGCAAGCAGGCAGTCAGTCGTGAGTTCGATCCCCAGTACCGATAAAAATGAAAAAGACAAAAAAAAAAAAAAAAAAGTTAAGATTATATGTAATTTTAAAAAACTGGAAAAAAGGTAATAAAAGTCATTTAATACAGAAGAATAATATGAACATGTAGTTTGCAAATATAGACTGGGCTTTGCAGCTCGGTGAAGAATTCATTCTTTTCTGGACATAGACAAAAACTTATGTACATATAGAATTGAGTTTTTTCAGAACAATTTCTCAACAGTGACACAGAAACCAGAGAAGATAACTCTCTAGAAATTCTTCCTGCATGAAAATGGATCACAGCGAGCAGGCGGGCAAGAGGGGCACTGAGAGGAGGACCCGGGCAGCCTTACCTTCCAGTCCGAGAGGCGGCAGGTGCCGGGGTGCGGGCACTGCGTGGTAGACCAGGAAGCAGGCCAGCATGCTCAGCTGTGGCTCCTCGCAGGGCTGCCCGCTGAGGTAGGCTTGCACACACGTGTCACCCCCCGCTGTGGAGGACAGAGACGGCAGGCACTGAACCAAGGGAGGACAGCACCGGACTGAGAGGCACTGGGACGCCTCCTTTCTGCACTCTGTCTTCAAGGACCTACTGAGCACTCAGTCCACACCAGGCAGGCGCTGAGTTGGCACAGGGGTGACCAACTGTCACTGCAGTCTGGAGCACTTGGGAGAAAGATCTTAGCCAAAGCACCACACAAATGCATACTGACAGACAAGCATGAGTGTTACAAAGGAGGCTAGGTCCCGGGGCAGTCTTCTCAGATGCCCATGGAACCACCCTTCCCTCCACAGGTGACACCTGCAGGGACAGCCTTCAGTCCCAGCTCTGGATCCAGCTTAGGCTTTGCCAGAAGCTGTCACTCAGGCTTCAGTGTGAATCCCAATCCCTGCAGTGCCGGGGAGCACACGATTGGGTGACTCCAGGTCAGAATTTCCCATCAGGTGGATCTTGGGAAGGCCAGAAAAGCCACATTTCTAACAGTTCTCCAGTGCCATGCTGATGTCTGGGAACCACACCTGGAGAAGCACCAGTGCTGGGCAGTCAAAGCGATCCTGCTATCGTGATGCCAGGATTAGCCAACAGGCCAGGCCAACACAGGACAGGACAGGACAGGGCAGGGCAGGGCAGGGCAGGGCAGGGCAGGGCAGAGCAGGACAACACAGGACAGGACAGGTCATGTCAGGCCAGACCTAAACCTCCAGTGCAAGACCCTGTTACTGGGATGGACCGAGGACACAACCCAGGCCAGAGCCTGAGGAGAAGCTCAATGCCCCGTTTGCTTCTAGGAAGGCAATGTCTTCATTCTGTGTCAAAGAACTCCATTCCTCCTCTGAGCATCAGACCGAGCTCAGGGTGAGGTTCCGTCCATCACAGCCATTTTGTCATCACCAGGAGAAGGGCACAGAGGACAAAGCCATGGCAGAGGGCATCTGAGGCACCTCACAGAAGTGGAGTGGGAGCCACTGGAGTCCTTTGGCCTGCCTCCCCGTTACAGAAGCTCGTCTGGTTAGACCTCTATCACTTCCAGACAGAGGCATTTGAAACAGAAAACAAATCTGAGACAAAGGTGCCAAGAAAGCTGCCGACAGCTGAAAGCCTTGGAATCCTGTGAGGAAGGGGCATGCAATCCAAGGCTGTGAGGGTGAGCCTGAGCTCGGAAGGCGCCACTGCAAACAGGAGCTCAGGGCTTGGGGAGGCGCAAGGGGCCAGGCGGCTACGGGGAGATGAACAGCAGGAGTGGCCTGAGGCGGGGGACACTGTGTACCCCGCAGCCATTCTGGTGACCACACAGAATCTGGTGAATCTGAAGCTTTTGAAAGGTTTAAGCAGGGATGCTGGATCAATTTAGTCTTTTAAAAGCTATTCTATTGCTTGACCAGGAGAGAGGGGCTAAGAATAAAAAGCAAAGAGGAACAAAACAGTAACTTTTGTTCCACACGGAAGTCATAAAATGTGAACAGGTTTAAGAACTGTTCCAGAGTCAGACTGAAAGACTTCAGGATGGACTGGCTATTGCACGACGGGAAAGGTAAAAAAAGGAGGATGAATTCCAGGAGGGTCAAGGAAAAAACTAACAGTGACACAGTGACACTGACTGAGAAAGAGCGGTCAAAAGGCTTTAATAAGTATCAGGAAGCATGAGTCACAAGGATCCAAGGAGGTCCACAACAGGAAGTTGTTAAAAGCCTCAGTGTCACAGAGACGGAGCGAGATAAACACTGGGGAGACTCCCCTGGACACTAGTCTGCCAGAGGAGGAGAGCGCTGGGGTGTGGGAACGCAGCAGAGGAGAGAGTGCAGGAGGCAGGAAGAGATTCTTCTTCCAGGAGCTGATGATGAAGGACAGCACAGCGGTTCCTGCATGGCTCTGATGACTTTTCCCGCCCCCTAGTTTACCCCTTCCCCCAGTGTGAGGGAACCAACTCAGGGGTGCTCTTCCACTGAGCTGCATCCTCACCCCTTCTTACTTTGTATTTTGAGATGGAGTCTGAATTACACAGGCTGGGCTCAAACTTGCAGTTCTCCTGCCTCAGCCTCCTACAGGGCTGGGATTACAGATATGTGCCACCACCCCTGCCAGCATCAAACACTGCACATGGTAAAATTTGGAAAATAATAGCTGCAGTGGGTTAGGGTTCAGATGAAATGACATGGCAGAACGCTGGTAACTACTGAAGCCCAGAGATGACACTTGTTATACCACTTCCTCTATCTTGTACCTGTTCCATATTTTACATAATAAAATATGAAACAGACATCTTAAGAGTTCTGAACTTAAAACCTACTTTCTATGCCCAAAATTACTAAGGAGATAGATGCATAAAACATATACACAGTGCGATAAACCCGCTGCACTGTCACATTTTGGGAGTGGGGTGTAGGTCACGAGTGACCCTAAAGGTTCACCAGGGCATTTGTGATTTTCACCGAAATAAAATACAGCCAGCATTTTCTGATGGAGTGAGCAGGCTCTCCACCCAGCAGGCCAGAGCCAATCACCAGTGCTTGTGAGAGCAGTGACCACTTAACAGTTTTTTCAAAAACTGCAGGTTTTTCACTAAAATGCAACATACTTCTGGTACTTAGGAGGGCAGGTCAAGTTTGGCAGAGGCTCGTGGCGCTGCTGGAATCCATGAAGGCCCTAACACCAGGTGACAGGCAGGGAAACCCCTCTGTAACATCTCCAACCAAAGGATCTGCCAAGATTCTCATCAACAGCAGAGGTTCGCCACAGGTGACCAATGCAAAATCAAATAAAAAGAACCAAAACCAACTATTTTTTTTTTCTAAAAAGGAGAATAAAAGTGACTAGCGAAAAAAGTTATAAAAACATGATCTTTTCAAATGCCAAAACTAAGGGACAGATTGGACCCAGCTGTTAGGCTGGAATTGCTGCTCTCCACATACAATTTCTCACAATCTGGTTCGCAATTAAGTTTTTCCCAGAAATTCATTTCCTAGTATTATAAAGAGGTCACTTCTAGTTGAATTACATTCAAATGTTGAAGTTGATTTAGTAATCAACCTAATAGCTTAACAAATCAATCGAGGATTCTTACTAATAATACTACTAAGATTTTTTTTTTTTTTTTTGGTCTTTTCGAGATAGGGTCTTGCTGGCCTTGAGCTTGCTTCGTAGCCTAGGCTGGTCTTAAACTTGCAACAATCCTCCCACCTCAGCCTCCTGAGTGCTGGGATTACAGGCGTGAGCCATCACGCCTGGCTTGTGATACTAAGATTTGTATCTACCTAAAGCAGTTTGCTTTGAATGAACTGAGAAGAATGAAAAACCAAGAGTCCACTACAGAAATCAACTCCAGACACAATAACATATACAAAGCATCCCCAACAATAAAAGGCCCCTCGTCTGCCTCATTGAGTAAACTACTTCAGTGAGTTCTGAGTGAATGTACGCTGTCCTTGAGATTACAAGGCAACAACACCGCCAGTAGAAAACCAGTGGTGCACCACATCTCAGTGTCTCAAGGACTAGCCTGGGGTGCTGGGGAAGGCGGCACCCACTCGGTAAGTGCTAAGGGTAAGGCGAAGTCGGAACGAGGAGAGACAGCGTGAGGAGAAGAGAGCAGCTGCCAGCCTCTGGCGGGAACAGGCCACACCCAGGAGACAGAGGCAGGGGAAAGGAAACAGGAGCTGATGGGAGAGAGGATAAAACAAGGTCCTTAAAGAAGGTGCTGTCTACATTCTCTGTGAAGCTGAAAAGGCAAAGTTGCATGCCTTTTTTATTAAAGCACCTGAAGTAGGTCATCAGAGTCTAATGCATCAGACTGGAAATAGTCAATCTATAGTCCTTCTGGTGCTAACACTTGATTCCTCTTGCTTAGCAGTTAAATCTGAAAACAGAGCCTCCTGATCCCGGGCACGCTGGGAGCCAGGGCCACAGTGCCGTGCTTACCTTGCAGCCACTGGTCCAGGGTATTATCGATGGTGCACTTCACCACAGGGAGGAACTCGGAGTTCATGAAGAGCCCTCGCTTCGGGTGGTTCTGCAGCCGCTCCTGATGGCTTCGGGAGCTGAAAAACTCCAGCACCAACTTGATCTGCCACAGTTCAGAGGTCTCCGACATCTCCCTTCTTCCAAGTCTTCTTATAGCCTGGAGGAAGGGGCAGGGACAGCAGTCTGCTGAGTGATGGCTGCACAGGGAAGGCCAACCCAGCGCAGTGGGGGATCCGCCCTGTGTGGGGAGCCATCGCCTCATAGAGCAGCCCTTCCCTACCGCAAGGCACAGCTCACTGCCTTCTATTCAGCCCCACCTGACAAGCTTTCAGGTAAATGAGCTCATTCTCAAGATGGGCAACAGATCCAAATGAGAAAGCAACACCACATAGGCGGACAGCCAGCCGCCTCTGGGAAACTCAGGTAGGGTACAATGACGAGCGAAGGATGAGGACAGGTACGGTGGGCAGAAGGCAAACGCACTGGCACTACCCACGAAGTGACCATGGCTGCACCTCGTGGTGTGTTGGCCCAGGACCCTGCCCATGACTGCAGAGGGTGAAGGTGCCAGGGTAAAAGGAGGGGAGTTCTCCCAGAACCTGAAAAGCCAGTACTCAGCCGCTGTCAAGACAGAGTCACAGCTTCCACTGAGAAAGGGTGGACTCCAGTAAGTAACAGCATGGACCTGCTTGCTCATACTGGAAAATTCTTAATTCTCTTCATTAAGAGTACACATTAACACCATGTGATTTTAGGTTTGGGGGAGCTACTCCCTGCTTAAATATATTTTACCATTCCTGATTATTTCTTTGGCTTTAAGTGCTGAGTTCCAATTGCTGATCTTACACTCCTCATATCACATTCACTTGATGAACCATTTTAAAATTATGGATTCTGGATCTTGCCTCAGAAATTCTGATTGATTAGCTGTGGAACAGGATCTGAGGATCTGTATTTTAAGATTCCCCAGACGAGGGCTAGGGATTTAGCTCTGTGGCGTAAGCATTTGCCTGGCAAGGGCAAGGTTGTGAGTTTGATCTCCAGTACTGGGAAAAACAAACAAATGATGATTCAATATGTCAAAGTGTCCAAAATAATTAATTGGGCCAGAGATTTAGCTCAGTGCCTCAAGTACTTGCCTGGTAAGCACAAGGTCATAAGTTAGATTCCTGATACCAAAAAAAAAAAAAAAAAGATTTGCCAGACGAATTTTAGCCAGGTTAGAAAACTACCTTTGCTTAACTAAAACCTTGGGTTGCAAAGATACAATTCTATTAAACAGCTGTATGTATTACTACCAATCCAAAGCAAATAAACTGGTCCAATCCTTCAGGAAAGCCAGTTAGCATTATTTTTTGAAGTACCCATGTTAGGCTCTTTGCAAGCTACTCTCTAAATCACTATGCACTGCTTCTGCAACTTCTTGAGTCTCCCAGGTGCAATGCCACATCCCTGCCATGCCCAGGGACTATTTGCTCACAAGCTGCTCATCTGTGATCTTTTCCCAGAAGGGGCTTTGCCCGGAGAGGGGCAAGGGACTGCTCTGGGATGGGGTGGGGGCTGTGCTGCTCCTCTCCAGAAAAGGGAGGTGAAGAGGTTGGTGTGGAGACATCTAGAGCTTCCAACCAGGACAGAGGGTCCTTTTAAAGATTTCTAAAAGCAAAGGAGGAACTAAAAGGAAGGATATGTAGGGAATTTTACCATGCTAGTTCGTGTCACTTGAAACTCAGGATAAATCTTACTGGAATTGGAACAGGGTTTTGCAACCATACCTGATCCATTGCTATGTAGGCAGGCAACATCTCTGGGGTCTCCTGAGTGACACATTCATAGAGCACTGAAGAAAAGAGGTCCAGAATTTCCTGTTTCTGTGGAAAATTGGAAGCATTTTGTAGCATATCAAAGCAGATTTCAAAATCAATTTGAGACATTAGGGTATAACAAATTCTCCAGTCAGTGCTGTTAAATAGTAATCTCTTGTTTGTTTGCTTTGCTTTTGAGACAGGGTCTTCCTGTATGATTCAGGCTGTCCTCAAACTCACAGCCATCCTGTGTCAGCCTCCCTAGTGCTGGGATTACAGGCATATGCCACCATGCCTGCCGGTTATCTCATTTAAAAAAAAAAAACAATACACAACATTAAACATCAGTTAGAAACAATAAAACTTTAGTCCCGAGGGACAGTTAAGGATCCTATGTGCTGTGACAATAATAATGGGTCAAATCAGGGTAAAATGAGCCAACAGGACACCCCAGAGTTGTCTTAAGTCAGGCTGGGAAAAGTAGGGTCCACACAGGCAGTGCAGTATCCGTGAAGACACAGGAACAAACAGCCCAAAACAAGTCTGGGTTTGCTGGCAAAAGATCCAAGTTCAGCTGGGAGATAAGGCCAGGCACAGGCTTTATCGGAGACGCGTGGCCTTAGTGCACATCAGCCCTTACTGCCGGGGCCTGGGCATGTGACATCTCTGAGTGGCAGCTTCCCCATTTGTAAATCTGGAATAGGAAGGCACCTTATCACAGTATCAGAATTAAACAAGAGAATGACAGAGTACCGAGCAGAGGACACACACAGTGAGGAGTCAACAGCAGAAGGGAAGCTTATTTCACTCAGAACAACACTGTCAAGAAGATTCTACTAAAATCTCACTTTCAGAAATGAGGAAACTGCAACTTGAAGAAGTTAAGAATTTCTCTTAAGGCTGCACACAAAGGTTTTTATCCTTGATTATCTGACTCCATATCTCCTCTTTCCCTGTGTGCATTGTGGATTGAACCCCAGTGAGAACAGATGTATGAGCAACAGAAAGGGTTATAACACACTGAGAAAACAAAGCTGATGAAACTGTGCAAAACAGTAAAGGCAGTTAACACTAACAGCATACATCACTATAAGAACAAGAAGCTCTCACCCATCAAAACTAATGTCCTTGAAATTTTAAGTTGTTTTACCTGTTAAGGTAGGAATAACTGAATTTAAGTTTTAAACTATGGAAATACACACTTGTCCACCAAATATCTCAGGCATGCCATTAATTTCAAAGAAAGTTGCAGATATTACAGATATATTTTTGTAATCCAGCAACAGAAATAATAACAAACTCTTGGAGTTCTTCATTCAACAACCAAGTTCTGTCTCTACAACTCAGTACTTAAGTGAATTGGTCGATAAATGAGGAATTGAATATAATATGTACACTATAACATTTACATGGTCAAAGGACACTCCAGCTGGATGATTTTGCTTTTATTTGCTTAACTCTTATATGCGGTACTATAATGTATAACAGAACATAAAACTATGGTACTATACAACATAATCAACAAAAATTACAGTACTGTATAAATAAGGTGTACAGTATAAAAAGAAAGAGGCTCTACAAACAAGATGCATAGAACTGTATAGAAATGCGACCAGTGGTTAACTAGGAAGGTCACTAAATGAGGAACTCTGGTCATACTTACCTGGCCCATGTTCACGGTTGGTTTGCAGAAATACTCAGCAAACGACAAAAGTGCTGGATCGGAAGTGAATGCTGAAATTGTTTCAGGCTAAAAAGAAAAACCCACAACAATGTGAGATAGTAAAAGACCATTTACTGATCTACTCAAACCATGTTAGCGCCCCTTTCACACAATGCTCTCCTAAATCATCAAATGTATAAACTTGCTAGAGCTTCACCACCCAGTTCGGCTAAGAAGTTACACAAACCTTTTATCATAAAGGCGATAAAAAACAGGTCTTACACAACTTACCCAAAAAAGACTTTCTCCTTCCCTGAACTTCTAACTAAAAGGCCTGCTAGGAAACACAGCTGTTAACTAAGGACGATGGAACATCCCTCAACAAGCCCACCGCGGAAGGACGAGCACCATACAATGCCCCATACGTGAGGTCTTGGGGTAATCAAAATCATCAAGGAAGAGAGCAGAACAGCAGGGGCCAGGGGCCAGGAAACCAAAAATGCAAGTTAGCATTTTTTTTTTTTTTTGCAAGTTAGCATTTAATGAGCATAGAATTTGAGATCTGTAACATGACATAGCTCTAGCAACGAAGGTAGTGATGGCTGCACAACAGTATCAATGTACTATCACTAGAAATAGTAAACTTTATATTACGTGTATTTTACTACAATGAAGAAATTGGACAAAAACTCCAGAATATCTCTCAAGGTTCAATTCTGAAAGTGGAATATAAAGGTATTACTATTCTCTACTGAGGTTTATATTGTATTTCTGAATTCCCCTCAGGCAGGAAATCAGTATTTTTATTTTTATTTTTTGGTGCTGGGGGTGGAACCAAGGCCTTGTGTGCACCAGCTAGGCAAGGGCTCCCCACTGAGTATAGCCCTGACCCCGCTGCTAATTTTCCCTGAACTACTCTCCCCACTCAAACCCATGTCTAAACTCATCTATCTCCTTTACAATTGGATCAGTCTTTGAGATGGGATCTAACCTTTAGAAGCAATAGTGCTAACGTGAGTTAAACTTTGTTGAAAAATGCTTCAAAAGTATTTCACAGAGAAGCCACTAAATACTGCCAAACAAAATACACAGAAGCCAACCCTGAGAACTATTTACAGGTTAAATTCTGGTAACTATTACAAAGGTGTGACCCTCAGTAACTGAGCCAAACAGCTGTCTCCTACTTAGAAGAAAGAAGCTCCATTAGTCCTCTAGCTGCCCCAAAGCTGGTCCATCTGCCACTCCTCTGCTGTATGTGACTAGGCCCCTGTCTGCTTTAAAGAGACTACCTTTAGCAAAAACATATTTGCTTCTGGAATTCCTAAAATTGGAGGTTAAATTCAGAATTTTAATGCTAGATCATGGAACAGTTTTCAGTGTGGGAAACTTCTCTTCCACAGGAATGAAGAGTCATACATTCTTTTAACTACTTCTTCAATTCAAACACCATCATGTTGACAATCAAACACTGTAAATAATAAAAGAATGAATCTATCATTTCATCCTCACCAAGCTCAAGAAAAAAATGACGGTTTAAAAATGGAAATTATGAAGTGCTAGGTGACAAAACCTTTTTCTGTTCTTGCCATGAAGGAGCATATTTTCACTCATTTGAGAGGAATAAGTAGATATTCTGATTGTGCACAGACACTGTGAGTGCTCCTGCCACTCCCTGTCGGTCTTACTTGAGAGTACCGACCAACCCTCCCTAGTTTATTATGCTGCTACATAAAACAGCAAAGGAAGCCACAGCCACTAAAGCTTTAAAACATGCAACAGTAAGGAAAGAAGCGATGAGATCTGAAATCACTTCCTCTCATCTTGGAGTTTTCTACCAGTCAACACTACCTTGAAAGCCCGGGCTTCAGAGTTCCTGTTGGCAACAGTCTGGGCCAACAAACTCTGCCACCCCATTGGATCTTCTTTGTAGGAGAGCTGGCCAGCCCTGAGCTTCACATATAAAACCCCATCCTTAGAAAGAATGGATCTGAAAGAGAAAAATACAAACTTCATATGAGACACACAATGCCATGTTTACAGGAGATAAAGTCTTGACTATTCTGTACTAAAGCATGGGATTTTGTCCTATGTCTAAAATTAAGCCAGATCCTTCAGGAAAGCCTCCAATAACGTTCCACCTTCCACTCCGATCTAGAAGGCATTCTGACTGTCCGCTCAAACATGAGCTTCAAAGGGAGCATTGCGACAAACACTGCTTGGTTTTCCCTATAGCCTAGCATGATGCATAGGACACAGACATAAATGTACATCAACTGGTCTGCAGCAGGAATGAAAAAATGTTGCAAAGCTAAAGATAGAATCACACAGAAATCAGCTATTATAATAGTGTGGGAAACTATAAATTGGAACCACATTATAGAAACTTTTACATGCTCATTAAACTTTCTAGAAATGTAAAGATATAATTTACATACTAAAGTAACACACTACATACAAAGTTAACACACTAATTATTTGCATACGACTATTTGAATACAAAAGCAATCTATTAAAATATGAGAACACTCTTTAACAAAAGAGTAGTGTACCAAAGGTGTGGTTTGAAAAACATCAATTGTTACAACAAAGCTCCCTCATGGACAGACACATAAGCCCTACTTTCTTAAACCAGATCTTGTATTATTGTACCAAGAGTATTTTTATTTCTGTCTCAAGCTAAGTCTATTCAAATTCTTAAATGAATGCATGTGAATAGGATTTAATTTCCAAATTAAAACTTCTACTTTCTAATATAAACTCTGGTCCAAGGACACAGAGCACTTCATTTGATGCACATTCTAATCACTGTTTTAAATGAGACCAAGGAGTGCTGAGCAGCGCTCTAGACAGTAATCTGCAATTCCTTCCTCCTGGATATACTTCCATGAACTTCCTGGAAGGCCCATTTGAGAAACTCAGTATACTTACTTCAAGTGTTGGGTTCCCTTGCTTAAATCTATCAGCAGTTCCCAGTACCGTGGGCCTTTAACTTTGATCTGCCAAGATAAATGTGAAGAGAGTCAACCCTAAGCTGAAACACGCTAGTCTGATAAAGTGAAGCCTGGGCCTCCCACAGGAAATAACAGCTGGAGAGAGATGCAGAGAGGTGAACAAGATCCATGTCTTACAAAAAGGCGCGTAAATCCTGCGCTGAGCACACCTAACCCATCGGAGCACACCTAACCTAACCCTAACCCTCGAGACAAGAACTCCATCCCTCTTGCTGACCTTCGTCCTGCTGCTGCTTTCCCGTTTTCTATGCAGCTACCTTTAATGTCATGCTACTGCTATTTCAATTTCTAACTTGGACAGACTCCTGAAGTCACTCCCAACTTACCTGCTTTAGAAGGTGGAGTTCTGGAAGAAGGGTAGGAGCCATCAGTTCTTCTTTGGTTTGTTCATACCACTGAGTGCCCTTTACACAGGGAAAAGGACAGCCACGGTTTGGAAGGCGCTCAGTGAAAGCCACAGGGAAGCAGCACTGGTCTACACCTCCCCACCCCCACAGCTGGTACAGATGTATTCAGTGAAGGCACCTGTGTAAGTTTCTTCCAGGGCATCCACCCCACCCTTCACGGCCTGCCCTTCATAGGCCAGCAGCGAGCTGTGCCAGCACAGCTGCCGGACTATACCCATTCGCCTTTTCAACTGAGAACGAGCCCAGTCTACAAAGTCTCAGTCCCCACAGACTCCACCGTGACAGCCGCCTGGCCCAGAGCTGGACACCGGCTCGTCTCTGCTCTTCTACTAGTTTGCCACTCGATGGCTTCAGCTGTCACACTCTATTCTCTCTGCAGCTCCCAGCAGACAGAAGGTCTTTAAGGAATGACCCTGTCACCTCTTTTTTGTACCTGAGGCTGGTAGAGTTTTGATACACAAAGGGTACTTTACAATTTGGAGGATGGATACATGACTTATGATCTACTTGTATTAACTAAATAAAAGATCTCTCCTCCAATACAAACCTAAGAAGAGTCTCAACTTTTACAATACTACCATCAGTCAAGTAAAATTACCAGGAGCATTTCCAAATTATAAGCTTTTGGAACAAGAGCATAAAAACAGCAGGTGATGCCTTAAAAATTACAGTCCAGACTATAAATGAGTTTGAATGACTGAGCAGAACATGTAAGAACTCATCTGTCCACGACTCAGTTCACCAGACAGCACTACTGAGATACTCTGACCCGCAAAGCTGAGTAACAATAAAATTACAATGACTGGCAGGAGGAGTCACCTTGTAGGTCACTTCTAAGAGGGCATAGCACGGCGTGTTCGTATCCACATCCACAGGCACCAGGAGCCTCGGCTCTGCAGCCAGAACATAGAGGTGCCGGAGCGCCTGGAGATGATACCTGGACACAAAATACAGCAAGGCGGTGACAACAGAACACAAGAGCACGAGTTTTACAAGTGGGTATTTCCTACAGGACTCAAGAGGACAGAAGCCAAGCCCCAAGGGAGAAGCAATCTTAAAGACAGATGACAAGTTCAACAAAAAAGTAGCACAGAGATTCCTTTAAAAAGTGTAATTTTAATCTTTGACCTAAGAGTTACCTTAGTTTTCTTAAGTTTTACAGGAAAGTGAAAAGCATCTTACCACGAAAAAGTTTACTAATGAGCTGAGCCCTGATGAAATCAGACCCTCTGGAATCAGACCCCTTTCTGCTCAGCACAGGTATCCCTGCTCACTCCGGCTGCCCTGTCCCTGCGGAACCTGAGCCCCACCCTGCGCGGCCTGCTTCTCACTTCCCAGCAGAGCTAGGATTTCTGCATGGTGCACACCGGGCAGGCACCAAAGTACGAAGTTCTCCTCCAGTCTAAAACTTGGTAAGAGAAACTAAAAGATCTGCCAGGAAGGTAACCAAGTTCAAGAACAGGAAAACGCTAACTTAGAAATTGGATCCTGAAACCAAACCACTACCCAGTTACCCCTCAGAGAACTTCAGAGACCACACTGGACTCACCGGTTGTCAGTACTGTGAGCCGGGAAGTGTGGGTAGAGGGCACAGAGGAGCGCAGCAATGGAGGAGTTCGAGGTGCTCAGGGAGTACCTGCAGGGCGAGGGGCGGGGTGGGTGTCACAGTTCCTGTGCTCGCCTTGGCGGCTTTAGCATCGGAAATGGGGACTGGTAAAACACCTTGATAAATACAAATGGTCAGTGGTGTGAGCATTTCAGTTTCGTCCTCAGGTCATTCAAGATCATCTACTATCCAGGCAGAAAGAACATCTCAGAAATGTTCAAGTTTAATCCCTGAGCTAAAATTAGCAAGGCTTTAACCTAAAACTGTGAGGACCATGAAGCAACCGAGAAATTATCTACACTGAAAGTCACGCATGAAGTATGTCACCTTCTTTTTCCAATTCCAGACTTAAAAATACAAGGTCTTTTACTAGATAGCCTAAGTATTTTTTTCTGTTTCTGCAAAGCATGATTATTCCTTTAGAATGATGGACTAAATGGAAAAAGGCAAAAGTTACCATTAAAAAGTTATAATAATGTACCACAATTAATCTTCTAAACATAAATTATCTTTTCTTGTCAACAGGATACTTTTAGATTGAGCATGGTAGCACACACCTGTAACCCCAGCACTCGGAAGAGGCTGAGGCAGGAGGCTCATTGCAAATTCAAGGCAAGCCTAGGCTACATAGTGAGTTCAAAACCAGTCTGAACTCTGCCGCAACACCTTGCCTCAAAAAAACCAAAAAGCTGCCTGGCAAACACGAGGTCATGAGTTCAATCTCCTATACCAAAAAGAAAAAAAAAACCTAAGAAGAAAAAAAAAAGAAACATACATTTTTCTTATAAAGGGCATATTTATTTAGTAAGAGATCTTTTGAAGTTTTCTTTAGTTTATTTCCTCAGTAAATTTAGTAAACAGGTAATTTAGTCTAAAGGTCTACAGTTTTTCTATAAATGTTATTTTTAAATTAAGATGGCACAGAACATTGCATAAAACTACTTTGTAGCTATTCAATACAAACATACATACTTTTTACTATATATATATATTTTACCACATATATAATAAACAAACCCAAATCTCCACCCCTACCTTTTAAAATAAGAATATAAATAAGAACTTAGCACTCAGCATACCCACTCATATAGTTAATGAATTGAGAAGAAATTTCAAGATCTAATCAAAGAAATGCATCTATTTTGCCTTGTATATAGGACATAACTTATGGACATAACTGATTCTCCCTCTTTACCACTTTGATATACCAAAGTCAAAAATAAATGTTAAGGCATCAATACCAGCAACTTGGGGATTAAACATAATACATAGTATAAGAAGCACTGTAACTTTAACTGTTGTCAGACAGGACACATCACCATTTAAAACCTGATAATCACAGAAAAAGGCAGAACAGGGCGGGAGAAAGTCTACTCAACGTGAAAGAAGAGGGAGCAGACTCACACCCAGGGGAGGATGAAAGAAGCAATTAAGAGTATTAGTAACTACAGGTGTTTTACTGAAAAGGAAAAAATTTTTCAAAAACACAAACAGAATTTTTATAGTAATATTTCTTTCGCTGTTCTTAATTCTACATAATTTAAAAAAGATAATCCCACAAAACATGTTTAAAAAGGCACACCTTCCTGAGAATCTTTGTGCTTTGTATTTCTAGAAATGCTAATCCAATGATTAGCGGGGGAGCACCAGAGCTAAGTTAGTAAGGAGACACCTCACACTCACAGGGGGAAGACACGGCTCAATGCCCCGACCTGAGGGACAGAGCCAGTGCAAATCCAATCAGTGTTCGGTCAGGTTACTTAGTACAGAAAAAGACAAATTCCAGTATTTATATGCAAATGCAAAGAACTGAACAGAAAAGCATGCTTTTGAAGAAAACTTGGGCTACTTTTATACTCAAAAGAACTTTCTTGGGGGGAAAAGAAACACACATCCATTTACCTTCCTCCTCCCAAAAACAGAAGTCCCAGGGCCATATGGTGAGCTAAGTGGAAGCCATAGTTCATCTCGCCACCCGTCTTCATGTGCAGGAAGCGACAAAGCTGCAAAACCTTCAAGTTCCCCGAGCCGGCCATCACCATGGCAAGTGACAGCAGCACCACACTCAGGCAGGTTTCCAGGTTGTAAGGACCCGTCTGGCAACAGAAAGGATGGCGTCACTGTAAGGGCTGCTAATTAGTCAGCCTTCCAAGACTAGCATTGTTGGTGAGGTTAAAAAGAAAAAAAATCTGTTAAACCAATCATTTTCCTGGTGTGTACCACACTCACCGATTTTTCTGCTATAATACACAAAGTCAAAACAGAAAATTTTAAATATTAAGTATCTAGAAGGAAATTACAACCATTTGGCATCCCACTACCCAATGAGAACTGGCATTAACATTTTAGATTTCTTATATCTCTGAATCTTTTCCTCCACATCTCTTTTCAAATGACATTAAGGTAATACTGTGCATGGTATTTTTAGTCCTTTTAGTAACTATTGTAATCTTTTTTTTTTTTGTCTTTTTCCTTTTTATCGGTACCGGGGATCGAACTCACGACTGCCTGCTTGCAAGGCAGGCGCTTATGCCACTGAGCTAAATCTCCAGCCCCAACTATTATAATCTTCATGGATAAAAAATTTTGAAAGATCCAAACGTGTATGAATGCATGAATATGCCATAATCAAACCTCACTGAGAATTTTCACTGTTTCTAATTTCCCGTATTATAAACAATATCACATCATCTGTGTGGTTTTTACCAGGAAGTAAACTCCGCAGCCTTCCTGTCATAAGAGCCACAATGGTTTGAGAGCAGCTGAATCTTTCTAAGCATTAATTGTCCTTTTCTTTGACAAGAAACTCCCACCATTCAGTGCTGAGACAGAACAACATGAAGTGTGATAATTCCCAAGTGTCACGGTCTCCCTTGCTCATTCTCTTGTCCTAAGAGTCAGATGCCTGTGTGCCCTTCAAGAGTCATCATGCTCTCATGTAACCAATATCCCAGGACAAAAGCAGAACTGAGCTAATGCTTCAAATCTCCCATTTTACCGTCAAACAGCAGAGGTGTCTGGCAACACACAAGTAACTGAATTATCAGTGAATTTGCAAGTTTTATTCTCAGTGAGAATTACAAAAAGACTTACTATGGAAGCGTTAGGTGCAGACAAGTATGTCATAAAATCTTTTGCAAATTTATGCTGGAAAAACAAAAGAAAACAAAGTTAAAATAAGCATCTTAAGGCTCTGGTAAAACAAAGCAGAGTAAACCAAGAGACTTCTCACCAAACAGTTAAACGCTGATAAGTTTTCTGAGCCAGCAAATCGAAAACCCAGAGACAAACAGGCTCCTGCAATTATGTAGACATGCGCTTGCCTACAAACAGAAAAGAAATTTAACACAATTATTATTTTCCCTGAAAATTCATTATGACCTAATATATTAGGGTGAACATAATAAATATTCCTATTCTCTAAACTTGTTTATGTTCTTCCGGTAAAGTTCCAGTGTGACCTGAACCAATCAGCAGATTTCTGTACATTTTTATTTTTAACAAAAGCACCATGTGACCCTTACTGATAAAGTCTTGACTACATTGTTTCATATGCTACACAAAGATAATTTTTTAAGTTGCTGTTAATTTTTTTTACTAGGAAACATAAAATTCCTATTTTATGTATATGTATATACATAGTATATGCGTATATACATATGCAAGTATATGCCCAATCTGCAATATTATTTTCAGAGAGCAATACTAATTCACTTAGATAAACAGATATGCCTTAAGACCATACTTTTAAATGAAATAAACTGGACATGCATATTTAAATATTGCACTTTCTCTTTCAGTTCTTGAGAAACTGAAAATGTAAATAAGGACCAAATAGGATGACAGGTATTGGGAAGCAGGAAGAAAATATTCGAGTGGGAAGGGGAACAAGAGAAGTGGGAGGGGGAAAGGAAGGAAGGGAAAAGGAAAAAAAAAGAACAGAAGGGAAAAATGGAAACAGAGTTTTTGTAAGTAAAGAGGAGAAGGAAGGTTGAAAGGGAGGGGAGGAGAATGGGGGGAAAAAAGAACTAAGATATATTACATAGTTACAAACTCCCTATGATGAATGTGATCATTACATACATCAAAAGGATACCAATAAAAATAATTTTTTAAAATTTAGGAAAAAAACAGCTCTACATTCATACAGCTTTAAAAAAAATAATAAAAAGAGATATAGGTGTAATTTAGTGGGAAAGCAGTGTAGCTACAAGGCTCTGGGTTCAGCACTATAACAACTATGATAATAAACCAATCTTGTGAATAATCTGATAACCAGTGGTTAGAAATGTGGGGGATTCAGAATGACTCAAATCAAGAATAACAGTGCTCCTGTAACAAACACTTTTTTTAATCGGTACTGGGGATCAAACTCACGACCACGCGCTTGCAAGGTAGGCGCTTATGCTGCTGAGCTAAATCCCCAGCCCCTATAACAGTTCATTTGTATTATATTATGATGCAACTTACGACAAAGTTTCCAAATTCAGGTCTTCTGAGCAAGGCAATTCAATTTCACTCAGAGAGATGCTATTTTCTCTTATAATCTGTCAAAACAGAAAGCAAGAATACTTGAACATCACTATTTTAGTTACAAACATATAATACTTTGAAGAATAGTTCATTGCTTGTCACAGATATATACATATATATACATAAGCTTTATTAAATCATTTCATTGGAAGACCTACATTTCAATCAGAATGATCAAATTTCAAATCTAAAATGAGGCAAATAACTAAGTAAGACTGAACATATTATTATTTTGGTGGGGTGTAGCAGGGATCGAAGTCATGACTGCGCACTTGCAAAGGCAGGCACCATGCCTCTAAACTAAATCCCCCCCACACACACACGTAGTAACATTTCACACTGGCCAACTGAAACACAAGATGAATTCAGTATTCTAAATTCTGTAGAAATAAGGAAGGACAGTGAGGAAAGGAAAGAGAAGAGGAAAAAAGGCACCAGGGAAAGGGGGAAAAAAACAGTTGGAGAGAACTCTCCTCAGAGACTCAAGTTTCTCCATTTGATGTTTGCAGCATTAAATGTCCCCCATCCACAGAGGGGAAGTGTGGCCCTCAGCTAATTACGTGACAAGCTAAGCTGTCAATACATTAATAAGTAATGTTTAGAAAGACAGCCCTTTTAGCACAAGTAGTGAACAACCATGAGAAATTACCCAGAATACCTAGCTTCAATAACCGAAAGCAGATTTGATCCTTTTAAAACATACAAACGTAAATGAAGACAAAAAGGCAATGTACTTTCTAAACACATAAAACACAAGTACTTGAGAGAAACACAGCAGACTCATTTTCAGGAGACTGCTCAGGAGAGGGAGCAGAAAATATCCACGAGTCTCTAGTGACAGTCTTTATGTATTGAAAGTTATCAAATGGAAAATTTCAAACAGTTTTGTTTGAAAAATTAGACAAGTAATTATGCTGGCTTTGTAATGGAAAGCCAGCTGATCGCTTCTTCCATCTTCCCCTTAATTCTGACTGTTACTTACAGAGGAAGTGAGTGGCACTCTAAAGAACTGACACCACTCCAAAGCAAATGACTGACATACATACGGATAACCCATTGTTAACATTCATGTATACCAAAGTGTTTGCCTGTGACATCACGTGGATGTGAAACATTTCTATTTTGACAGCAGGCTTTTCTATGCTTTGAATCTTCAAAAGAGGGTGTAACCTGGAGCCTGAAATCCCAGCAGTCACCTATGAGCTCTGGGGCTGCCCTGTCCTTCACCTATGAGTAAGCATAATAAAAGGTCCTGCCTTCTAGGTTTCTGTAAGAGTTAGGTAACTTAACCCACTGAAATCTCTTCAAATCAACATCTGGTATATAGTAAATTCTTTGTATCACTATAAGTATTATTACCCTGTACTTCCCTTGGTCATGACACTATACTTGATCATAAAGTAAGAAAAACATCATGATAAATAAATTTAAGTTGTAAATAACTGGAGGGGGCCTTCTTCAATCTGGTCCTTTGTCATCTGGTCCTTTGTCATTTCTTTAAAAAAAAAAATTAAAAGAAAATTAAAGAGAATTTAAAAATTAAATCAAAGAGAGATACAATCACTTAAGAGCAGGTTGAAGAGCACCAGAAATAAGCAGGCAAAGATCACGCAGCTCCTGTCTTGCCCAGGACCCAGAGCTCAATCCCAGGTTCTGAAGACCTGACTGCTAGCTTTCAGCTGGACGTCGCCTTCAGAGTGGGTGATTTTGGACAGGTCTATCCTCTTCCCATGTAAAGATGATGCACTAAGCTCTAGCTACTATGTAGTAGTTGCATAGAATTTTCACTGAAGCCTGATTGATAACAGTCCAAATCTGGAACCTGTCCAGAAAAAGAAACTGTGGTATATTCATAAAATAAGCATTATCTAATAATTAAAAGGATGAGTAACACACTCAATAATATCTCAAAATCATGTTAGAAAAGTTACACAAAATGATATATATTGGATGTGATTCCATTCATATAAACTTCTACATCAGTAAAATTAATTCATTTTGGAGGAGGAAAAAAAAAAATGCTGGTTGCCTTATGGGGAGGGTATGTGCAGAGACTAAGGGGCAGGGCACAAAGAACAAAGATTACACTGGGCATATGCACTAGTCAAACCTTACCAAACAGTACACTTAGGATCTGTGCATTCTATGGTATAAAAATTGTATCTTAAAAGGAAAAATGTAAATGTAAATATAAATAATGATACACCAAAATATTAGGAACAAGTACATTGTTGCCTGCAAATTTGAAACCCATTCAAAAGTGATGAAACAGATAAATAAGTAGACAGATAAGCTTTTAAATAAATTTATATAGTAAAACACAATATAGTAAAATACTGTAGAATTTACTGATAATATGAGTTACATACAAACATAAAGTTCTTTGAGAATTTTCCTTATAAAAAACGAAGGAAACAACCTACTATTCTTAAGGATTAGATTTTCAAATACAAAAGGGCTGAGAAACTGTCCCTATAAAGGGTCAGTTGATTAAAGCCAATAGTCAATTAAAATACATGATTCTGAATTTTTACAAAGCAGTCTCATTTTTAATTAAGATATTTGACTTATATAATATGTATGCTATAAAGAAATTAAAACCAGTTACCATATAGAATATTAATAACAGTCACAAATAGTATCTTACATAAATGTGTACTTATATAGAATGAAAATATTGAAAACAGGGGCTGGGGATTTAGCTCAGCAGCATAAGCACCTGTCTGGCAAGTGCACGGTCATTTAAAAAAAAAAAAATCAAAAATATCTTTCTGCTCTTTAAGACATGGTCTCACTGTGGATTCCAGGCTATGTGAACTCACTGTGTAGCCAGGGTGGGCTCAAACCCATGGCGATCTTCCTGCCTCAGTTTGTGGAGTGCTGGGATTATAGGTGTGTGCCATCATTTTTTAAGTAATTTAAGTGCCACCATTTTTGGTATATTTAATTTTAAAAAGTTACAATTTCTATAGACTAAGGGCCAAAGGAAGTCTGTTGTTACTACAAAACTTTAAGTAAAAGTTGCTTTCTTCAAGAGATTCTATAATGGTCAATTCTGCCTTCACAAAAAAAAAAAAAAAGAAAGAAAGAAAAGAAAAAAAATTCTATAGGATTTTGGAAAATCCCACAAGAAAACATGATTTTATACTATGAAAAATATTTACTGTTGTACTTACTTGAGGAACATTGCTGTCAACCCACTTGGAATTTGGTAGAATATCATCCCACAAAATCAGGCATCTAGCAAGTGTCTTGAAAACAGCATTGCAGATAAAATTAATTAGAACAGCCAAAGTTCACAGATTTTTTTTAAACAACAATCTTAAATAGAGCTATGAATAGAATCAGTTTCTAATTGATGACAATTTTGAAAAATAAACATAATATCTAAGCTACTCATTAAAATAAGGATTTTGATCTTAAGAAAAACTAAAATTGAGCTGATAATCCTCACAGTTTAGAGGACTGGCGGGGACTTCTAAACTACTCTATAGAAAATGTCACAAAAGAGAGAACCATAGGTCTATCTACACATTATAGTTTAAAGGCTTTCATGCTTTAAGTTGAAACATTAAAAAAAGGGCAGAAGGAAAATTTTAGGGACTTGTCAAATTGTTATTGTCATGATAACCTTAACTGCATTATTACACCCTTAATACTAATACAAAAATATAAGCCAGATCATTTAATAAAACCCTAGTTGCTTGCTGCTGTTTAGGAAGTTCTGAATAATGTGAAAAGCTGAAATGTCATTTAGTATTATATATCAATGTGGTTATCTTTCTCAGAACACCTATCATATTCAGGAAATTTCAAAAGAACATCGCTAACTAGATATGCATGAGCACTGAAAGTGAAAGGCTCTCATACAGGCATTTGTAAAGCAAGCTGACTTGGAAAGCACCAAGAGCGCCCTCTCATGCTAACAGAAATAAAAACTGACAACATGACGTACCCTAAGCAAGAGAAACTCTGGTTTCACGAAGTCCAGCAAATACATGGTGTCCGGAGCTCGGAGCCAGTCTGCGATGGACCTGTTGGTGGAGGACACCAGTGAGGGCTGCTTCTCAGGCAGAGGTCAAGATATAAAGAACTGGACCTTGTTCAAAACATTTCTCCACCCATCACGTCCATCCCGCTCTACACTAACTCGGCAGTGTTGCACCTGTGCTGCATCTTGGTAGAGTGCATGTTCCACAGGACAGATATTCTTAGTTTTCTTTTGTTCACTGAAATACCCCCAGCACCAAAAGGGCTCCGACATACACATTCATCTAAACAGCAGATGAATAAATGTATTTTACCACTTTGTAATTTGGTACAAATGCACTTTTTCTAAAGGCAAAAATTTACAGCACTAACAAATTTCATGAATCTTTTAGCTGAAAAGACTTACATACTATACTGGCTGCTACCCAACTTACTTATCTTTTGTTTTGTTTTGTCTTTTTCGTTTTTATCGGTATCAGGGATCGAACTCACGACTGCCTGCTTGCAAGGCAGGCACTTATGCCACTGAGCTAAATCCCCAGCCCCCCAACTTACTTATCTGTGCAAAGTGTAAGATAGGTGCCAGAGTTTTCAAGTTTTAGCAATTAGGACTGAGAAGTGAAAGGCTGGTCATTAGAAAAGCTTTTGTCGTTTTTTTTTTTTTTTCTTTTGGCTTTTTGAGACAGGGTCTCACTATGCAGTTCGGGCTGGCCTTGAGTTCATTTTGTAGCCCAGGCTGGCCTTGAACTCACACGATCCTCCTGCCTCAGCCTCCCAAGTGCTAGAATTACAAGCACATGCCACCACACCAGGTCAGAAAAACTTTTGAACTAAGCAGAAACCATTGTTACACATGCCAGGCCAGAAAAGAGTAATATTAAGTATTAACCATTCCTCAGCACAATATGCAAACATATGAAAAGCAATTTGGGCACTGTTTGGGTGTCAGTGACATCAGCCACAACACAGAAATAAATAGAAACTGGCAACTACAGTTGGGCCTCCACAGCTGTGGGCTTCACATCCAATTAAAAATATTTGAGGTGGGGCCAAGGATTTAGCTCAGAGGCTCAAGCACTTGCCTGGTAAGCGCAAAGTCATACATTGATCCCTGATACAAAACAAAAAAAATTTGGGGGGAAAAAAATCTGTACTGAATACACACAGTCTCTTTTTGTCATTATTCACTAAATAAATACAACCACCACTTATTTAGCATTTTTATAGCACATATAATGAAACACTATTAGTAACCTAGAGATGATTTAAATGCACACAAGAGGGCTGAGCACGGTGGCACATCTCTGTAATCCCGGCCTCTGGGTGGCTGAGGCAGGAGAATCCCAAATTCAAGTCTAACCTGGGCAACAGTGATCTAGTAAGATCAAGATCCTGTTTCAAAATGAAAAGTCAAAAAAACACCTGGGGATGTAATTGAGGGTCAAACCCCAGAGTTCAATCTCCAGAACCAAAAAAAAAGGTACACAAGATGTGCACAGTGTGCACACCACTTTCTACACGGGATCTGAGCAGCCACGGGCTTTGCTGTCTGTGGGCCTCAGGAAGTAACACCTTGCAGACACCGAGGGACGACTGCATACTATCAAACAGGGTAAGACTGCAAAATGCACTCTTCCTCAGTGAAATCTGTGTAACTCGCAGTAGCTGAGACTGAAAATCAGACTGCTCCTCACAGGGGAAATGAGCAGATGAGAAAGGATGTCACAGTCACAGGGAGGCAGGTGAGGGTACAAATACCTGTTATTGGTTTTTAAGTAGATCATAGCCAAAGCCAGAGTAGCTCCTGGACAAGTCACATCCACATTTATGGTATCACCTTCCTAACAAAAGAAAAGTGATGCAGAGGTCTGTATTATTTATAATTGTGTTGGTAGGGAAAACACAATTTTCAAATGAATCTCCTTCTTCTGGCACCCTGACCTGCTGCTGTGATGTGCACTTACTTTGATTTGGTAACTCGGAGACTTATGCCTCTCCCTGTGTGTTCCTGCTTGGAAACGTCTGTGACCGCCCACCATGTACTGATACAACTGCTCGGGCACATTGAGGTCGGACATACCTATCAAGTTACTGCCGTGCTGGAAAATAAAATAACAGGCAGGAAAAGAAACCTTATAGAAGACAATCCATAACACACACTCAGGACAAATATGGGAATAACTTAACTTTAAAGTAGGGTATTTTTATTTTCTACTTATTTCCAATTAACATTACTCATGAGATACTGTTCAAACTATTTGTGCGTTCAAGTAATTTCATAAAATATACAGACGGTTCAAAATACTTACAGTAAAGGAAAAGATTTGTTATATAACTGAAATATTAAATGCGAAGGCCTTGAATATTTTCATCACTGTGCTTGTGAACTTTTCCAGCAACAATAACTATAATAATAATAACAACATCTTACTTGCTTTAACTCAACAACCCTACTGAAGAGCTACACAAAACTCCTTTGTAGATGAGGACAGTGAGGTACAGAGCAACCTAGCCAGGGTAACTTAGCTACCGAACAGCAGGGTTAGATGAGAAACAAGGCAGCTCTGTGCAACAGTCCAGGGGCTGCTTATGCAACAGACAAAGGCAATTAAACGATTTGACTCACGACTCAGGACCAGAACTCAGGTCCCAATCCCAGTATGTTTTCCACGGCACCACGGCCTCTTCAGGTTATACGCCAAAGGTAAAGTCAAATCCCCCAACAGACACTCACACACAGGGTACAAACTCCACTTACCCCCAAGCAAACCATCCCCAGGGCCAGGCCAGCAGCTAAAGAGTACGACTCTCTGTCAGTGCAGTATTCCATTTCAGGACCCGGGGGCCGCCCTGCAAAGACAGCATCATGGTTCAGGCTGGCCTCTTACTGTTACAGAATTAACCTTCTAGTTCCATAATACACATGGATTCACTATGACTACACTCAGAAAGTTATGACACTACCACAAATACTGTCGAACTGCCAGTTTACCGAAAGAAAAGCCCAAAATGTAGAATTACCATGGCAACAGCTCACTGATATAATCATACTACAGAACATTGAATCTTCAACAGTGTATCATGAAACAATCATTTCCTCTTAAAGTTTTGCTCTCCACAGCTCTACTTATATGGTCAACCGTTGTCCAAAAAAAAAAAAAAAAAAATTAACAGCAAAATCATAAAAATAATTCAAAAATAAACAATTCATAACTTAAATAACTGTGATTGTTCTATTTCAGTACTACTGTTAATCTGTTATTATATTTAACTTATAAATTTAATTTTATCACTAATATGTATGTATAGGTAGTCAGTCCTTCATGTCTGCAGGTTCTGTATCCACAGACTCAACCAACTATGAATGAAAATATTTTTTCAAAAATTGCATCTGGATGTTCTCACCTGTTTAACCTTGATATGCACTGGCCAATGAGCAAAAATCATTCTGGTAATTATCAAAGCACTTGAGTCAAGGCCAGCATCTTACCTTCTTGTTTAAAAAATTGAAAAAGCTGCATTTTCAGTACACACATTTTCCTTCTCATAGTCCCTGAACAATACAGTGTGACAATTATGTGCACATCATTTACACTGTATTAAATTTCATCAGTAATTCAGAGATGATTTAAAATGCACAGGAAGACACAATGCACAGGTTACAGAAGTTGGTCATTTCCACTCTGTTTCAAGTGCCTTGTCCGTCAGAATAAACTCTGAGATGCTAAAGACCAAATGAGTGGCTCTAAGTGTAGGCCACTGCTAGGCAATGCTTGGTAAAGGGACAGTGGAATAAAAGCCATGCTCATAGGTGATTAAGAGCATGGGCATCTCATTCAACGTAATCGCTGGAGCTCACGAAGGGCTGGTTCAACAAATACGCAGGCTAACAGCCTAAATAAGAAGTGAACATTAGCCTTCAGAGACAGGACTCGTAGTGTTTTACAGTTACCGGATCATTCTGGGCTCATAAAAACTACTGCTTTTCTGTCATTTTGCAGTGTTACCACTGTTTCACTTTTCATGTGGAATGAGGTACGCCTTGGAGAACATCGCTATCACTCATACCGATTTCAGCCAGCAGGACTTCGGCAGTGTGCCTGTGGGCGGTCCCCTGATACACAAGGCCAATGCCAACCACCGCAGCCACCTGCACATTGTGAGGAACATCTAGCTCTGTGGATGTGGGGGGCAGGAGAGCAGGGATGTGGATGCTGAGCAGCCGAGTGATTGACATATCCATGGTGCCTAGTTTTGCAGCTGAGACGCCAAGTAGCAGTCCAATGCTTGTCATTTCATGGCCCTGAGATGGAAAAGAAAATGAAACCGAAGAGTTACTATCAAAACAAATCTGCAGTTTTAAGTAAAATACTGCCATGTTCAGTAAGTACTCTTAGGTCATAAGCACAGTGACAGACATGAGAACACAGTGGCAAAGGAAACAGACACTGTCCTTGCTCTCACAGAGTTAGTGCTCCAATAGGAAAAAAAAAAGGACTAAACTGAAGACACACAAATGGGTCCATTATTTAAAAAATAGTCTAACAAAAATTACACAGTATTAGGAAAGAGCATTTTAAGCGGCTTCATTTAGGTTAGCAGGGGGTACAGAATTATTAAGAAAAGATCCTTAAGAGATAGAGCCAGGCATGGTGGTACACACCTGTAATCCCAGCTCTCAGGAGGCTGAGGCAGGAGGCTCACTGCAAATTCAAGCCTGAGATACAAAGGGAGCTCAAGGCCAGCCTGAACTGCAGAGCGAGACCCTGTCTCAAAAAGAGCACCCACACACACACCGAAAAAAGATCACAAACGGAAACTTATAGTAGGACCCAAGGACTGGGAAAGTGGCACAGAGCTGAACAGGATCACACAGGCTCCCAGAAGTACAGGAAGAGAGCAACGGCGGTTCTAACCCAGGGAGTGACCGTGTTGACTTACACTTCAGGAAGATTACCTGGCCTGCAGTGAGGGGAGTGGATTTAGAGGTGCAAGAATGAATGAGGAAGGGCAACTGGGAAGGGGCGCTCACCTTGGTCAAGTAGTCATGGATATTGAGCGTAGCCAGCTTGGTCAGGTGCCCATTCAGACCCAGCGCCATGAGGAAGCCAGCATACTCGTTGGCTAGCTCGGCGTGTTTGGGCTTATTGTAAACTATCCACGCCGAGTCAATCTGGGAGGCAGGGGCGATCTTCAGCCCAGCAGCCACCCCATTGTGGAAGCTGGCCCAGCTTGTCATGTTGGGGGGCACATCGATGTTCCCGCTGTTTAGGTCTACCGTTGTGTTCCGGGGAGGGGCACGTCCTATCCAGTCAGAGTGAAGTCGACACAGAGGGAATAAAAATCCACAAAACAAAAACAACAACTGAGGTCTCTGAGAATTAAAGTTACTACACTGAAAACCCCTAACACTGGGGTGCCAAAAAGCCTCTGCAGGCACTTAAGACTTTACACATGCTATCGAATTCAAGGCAAGCTGAGTAAACCCTTATTCAGTAATCAAATCTCAATAATCTTAGCATTATCAATATTCTTTCTGAACTTTCCAAATGACCTTTTATATCAGAAGACAATCTCATTAAAAAGTAGAATTAGTGATTGACTACATTCTACTTCATGCTTAGTTTGATTTGCTATTTGCACTTGGACAACCATTCCATTAACAACAGGTAGAAAGAAAACTTTATTAGTTTTAACTAAAATAGCTCAAAAGAACACTGTGTTTACATTTTGCTTTCTCAGTAGCCAGAGCACACGCACCAGTCAGGTTCAGCTTGGGAATCGGCAGGGGTTCCGTGGGCACGGGGTGGTAGGAGAACAAGGTGAACATGCCTCGCCCAACCGGAAGGGCCATGGTGCGCTGACACAGCTGCAGCAGTCTGTATTTAAGACAAGAACCAACACTCAGACAATGGCATGTAATCAGCAGGTCAGGGTCTCCAAGAACGCCTAGCTAAGATGAAGCCACCTCGGCGCAGACCCACAGAGACGCAGGAAACCCCCAAGTCGGTTATTGTCATTCATTACTCCCGGCCCGCCCATCGGGCACTCGGAGGGAGGACACACTTCGAGTGGCTTCACAGCTGCTGTGACTAAAACCCACCTGGCCTAGAAGCCAAGGCAACTCAGCAGGCGCTATAAAGAGAGACCTAAAATTGTACTGGTGTGATGCTGACTTTCCCAAGGGAAAATGCAGTACTCTGGAGGTCCCTCCATGTGTGACTTGCAGGCCAGCCATGTATGACTAGGAGCCTTTGCCAACTCTCCCTTGGAACTGCCATCACCTCTGTGGTTTTACACTGAGAAAGGAAGGAAATGAGTGGATTTCATGGAGTCTCCGGGAAAGAAGACTGAGTTTCATTTGCATTATGACTAGGATTTAAGGACTAATACACTGCATGTCAGGGAGGCTCCAAGGTTCAAATGGCTTCTGTAGGCCACACGGTAAAAGTAACACGTCCGCATTAACACCTTTGGATGCTGAATTACCCCTGCCTTAAAACAAGACAAAACTGAACAAAACTTGTAAAGCAGGCATTGGTAATTAAGAGACACTTTTAAAAGCTGTACATCAAGCTAGGTGTAGTGGTGCACACATGTAATCCCAGTACTTTGGGGGTCTAGGACAGGAGGACTACAAATTCGAGTCCAGCCTGGGCAACTCAGTAAGTCTCTGTCTCAAAATTTAAAATACTAAAAAGGGCTGGAGCCTGAACTGCATAATGAGACCTTGTCTCAAAAAGATGAAAACAATCAATAAAAATGTGGGTTTAAGTTTATATTATACTAAAAAAAAAACCTCAAAATCTATTCCTGAATAAGACAGAGGGACAAGTCTGTTTCACTTGGTTTGTAAATTATATTTCTAATCAGATGATAATCATTTTATTTTTAAATTTGTTTTATTTGTCTTTTGAAACAGGGTCTATGTGGTTCAGGCCAGCCTTGAACTCATTATGTAATCCAGGCTGGCCTGGAACTCACAGAGATACTCCTGCCTCAGCCTCCCAAGTGCTGGGACTATAGGTGTGCACCACCACACCTGGCTGTAAATTCTTAAGGTAACTACTATCAAAATCATTTTGATTAACCTTTTCTAAATAGTACACTGCTATTTTTCAAGAGGAAGAGAGCATAATTCTGTCCTCAAAATCCAAAGATATTTTGAAAACATGTACGTTCACTGAGGATAAATGAAAACTCAAAATATATTGTAGACTTTAAAGTAACTTTTAAAAAGCTTTGATACTATTCCTTTAAAAATTTAGGGATTTAAAAGGTAAAAATTTGAAGGGAAAACAAATACAAGCCTCAAATTTACATAACACTTTAACATTATGTTGTCTCACTAGTGTGAGAAGCTGAAAGAAACAACATACATATATGGATATGGATATGTTCAGGTGTATGCATGTATTTAAAAAGTTAAGATAGTCATACTACTGATTTCTCTGAGTTCTCCAAAGAGGAGGTCTTGTGCCAGTATTGTTCAGACAATTGAGTGTAGATGTCCTGTGCTCCAGGTAAATGATCTGGGGGTGACAATGTACAATGTATGTACCGTTGTTGTCCCCTGATTGATGTGTTTTGAAATCTTATTCTTTTTTCTCTTTGAAATAAATTGGGTTTGAAAAACAAGGCTGCTGTGACACTTGGCAGAGTGGTGGCATCGCTACCTGTTCTCCTTCTCCTCGATGAACTCGTGGTCGCTGAGCTCCGGGTACTGCACCACATTGACGCGCACAGGGTGCGCGCTCTGCAGCAGCCGCCGCACGTCCTGCACACGCAGGTCCTCGCTCCATATTAAGGACATAACCTCGTGGTTCATGTCGTTCATGCCGTCGTCTTCCTCCTCAGTTTCTGTTCCTGAAGGAACATCTGATGAAAGCACCTGAGTAACAGACTTGATTATAAGAATTTCAAAAGCAGCCAGTGTGCAACTGCTGAACACAAGGACACACAGGTTGATGGATGGGACCCAGCAGCATAGGGCACAGGAATGCTGGGCCTACACAACACACATGGGCACCCAACCCACCAGCCTTTAATGCGCTATGTCTCCAGGATCAAGTGACCTTCCTGCCTCAGCTTCAGACATGTTATATATGTGCTTATATATGAATATATAGTCTTGTGTTTTATTCTTTTTGAACCGACAGCCATCCACAGACACTTCAAAATTTTTATTTTAAGACAAAGTCCAAAGAGACAGAGAAAGAGAGAGAAATGGGGTCTTGCTAAATTGTCCAACTGGCCTCAAACTGGCCATCCTCCTGCTTCAGCCTCCCAGAATGTGCACACCACCACACCTAAATACTTGTCACAAGTATTGTACTGCCTACTTGGAAACATTCTTTAATGAACTGAGAGGAAAAAGCTTAACGTTATGACAAAATCAGAGACTGAACTCACTGAAACATCACAAGGATATACACGACGGATTGTGGAAGTTAAATAACAGTGTCTTATTTTAAGATAATGGATTGTGGCTGGTTTTACTTTTCTGGCATCCTGCCCTCATAATTTTAACATGTGGCTTAATAATTCAGCCTGAACAATTCAGACTGTAACTCAGATGTACAGCAGATGGAATCTCTTCATTTTCTTCCAGCGATTTTTTTTTTTCTGTTTTTTGATTTTGTTTTTTGAGAGGGGGATTTTGCTATGTAGCCCAGGCTGGCCTCGAACTCAGAGATTCTCCTGTCTCAGCCTTCTGAGTGCTAGGATTATAGGCATGTGCTACCACACCTGACTTGAAAAATTTTATACTCTCTTGACAAAATATTAAATTCAAATTGAAATATTAAAGTATTGCAACATTTACTGTGGAAGCAACAATGCTAGCCTGAAAAAACAAATAGCAGGTATGACCAATTAGTCATTCTGAGTTCACAAAAATTCACTTTGGTTCCTATGAAATATCTGATTTGAAAAGACACTGCAGTCATGCACTGCGTAACAGTGTTTCTGCCGATGACAATGGTCCCATAAAATAGTATCAACCAGGGATACTGTCATTGTAAGTACTATGATGTGGCACAACACCAAAACTGCACAATAGGGCCAGGGGTTTAGCTCAGCAGCACAAGCACCTGCTTGGCAAGCAAGAGGTCATGCATTCGATCCCCAGTACCAAAAAAAAAGTACAAAAAACCCCTGCATGATACTTCTCAGAAGCTGCCCCATCATTAGGTGATACATGACTATATATACTAATCGTTGAAATACCCAGAATATATAAATCCAAATGTCTACACTGAATTTGCATGGGCTTAGTTATAAAATACAGCATCAAATACATGAAAAAACTGAATTTAGATGGAACTACTTAAAATGACATTTAAATACAAATTAATGGACTAATGCTAACATTGTTAAACTGCTGTCATAATTACAAAAAAATCTAAATGCTACAGGCTTTTCTTAGTTTAGGAAAGATATTATTAGCAAAAAGATTGTTTGTTTGTTTTTTAATTTAAAACACAAAAAACAGTAGTTCAACTAAGAGTTGTCATGACGATGCAGATTCAACAGATGTACTGGGCCCCTGCTGGACAGTGGGTCCCTGTGGAACCCTGTGGCCCACATCCTGTTAGCAACTATAAAGCCAGATGAAGCTTTGCTATGGGCCCTGAAGATACATTAACAGCCCAAGGCCTAATGGGATTTATTAAAAGCTATAATCTGATTACTCTGTGACAGCCCAAGGAAAAGAAAGAAATGAGCCAAACTGCTATTATTTTCTCAGAGACACGAACAAAGTACAAGAATCACCAGGGAAAGAAGCATCACTCCCAAATCGTCCTCAATGAACTTTCAGAACGTTTATAAAAACGTTCTAAAAGTTTTAAAAATTTGTATTTATTATTTAGCAATGCTGGGAATTAAATCCAGAGTTGTGTGCATGTTAAGCAAATGCTCTACCACTGAGCTACACTTCCAACACAATTTTTAAATTTTTTTTTTTTTTTTTGGTACAGGGGATCGAACTCACAACCTCCTGCTTGCCAGGTAGGCGCTTATGCTGCTAAGCTAAATCCCCAGCGCAAATTTTTAATTGATGTATAATTATGTATGTTTTGAGGGTACAGTAGGATGGAGATTTGTGTAATGATCTGATCAGGGTAATTAGCATATATTTGACCCCATGTATCTATCATTTCATTGTGTTGTGAATATTCAGTATCCTGTCTGCTAGCTATCTTGATGTAGTCAATCACTTATGTTCAACCACAGCTACCCACAAATTTCAGTTGTAAGTTTTCAGAAATACTGATTATATAAAAGAAATAAATGAAAAGTAATGAAACGTCACCCTATTTCGAGGCTTCTTAAAAACCATTCTGTCTTTCTGGCTTTTTCTGTTGTTGTTGTTTTCTTTTTTGGAGTACAGGGGATTGAACTCACGACCTTGCACTTGCCAGGCAGGCACTTATGCCACTGAGCTAAATCCCCAGCTTAAAAACCATTTTTAAACAGATTTAAAGATGTTTCATGAGAGACAATCTAAAACAGCTTTTACACAACTCTAATGAAAAAATTATTTTGTGGGGCAGCTCGGTTTCATGTGATTAAACAAATATTTAAACCCATTGAAAAAGCTAAATTCAAGAAATTTAACACATCGAAAAAGATGACAGAAAAGTTATATATTAACTGTCTAAATTCAGGGTCCAGTGTTATTCTCCTATGTAATAATCATAAAGTTGCTAATTACTACCGTGGGAACAAACAGGACAACAGTCACAGCTGTCACCCACCTGACCCAGCACCTGCACTGATTCAAGGCAAAGAAAAGTCCATACAGGACAGAGCAGTCACAAGCATGCTCCAATGTTCAATTTATAATTAATAAGATACATTCACTTATAAACCCCATCTATCACATGAGATAAAAGACAAACTGGTGTGCATAGTGGCAAAAAATTGTAAAGGAAAATGAAGAACCACTTTGATTTTTTTTTAGGTTGACAACTCCAAGTTTCTCTGCTGATACTCACAGATTTCCCTCTGGGTAAATTCCCTTCGCAGGCCTGCTTAGAAAGATCCTGCCGTCCAATCAAGAGGCAGACAGCTTCCGGCCAGTCTGAGGCAGGCTGCTCTCGGCAATGATAAATGGCATCTCTGATGGGAAGAGCAATTCCAAACGGAAGAGTTTCCAAATCTCTTAAAGTGAATCCTTGAGGTGAAAGGAGTGAAGAATAATTTTCACTTAGACTTGTTACTTCCCCAACTACCCTCCGACTGATTAGTGAATCAGTAAGATGCATTTTATTCATCTTACTACACTAACGGTTGACAGCAGGGATTCATATATAAGATCTCTAAAAACTACACAATCTGAAAGGACAATCCAATAGGCAAACACAAAGGACCAAAGGTATTTCCCAGGAAAGGAAATATAAGTGTCAATATTCATATGAAAAGATTCTCTGCCTAATGCATCATCAGAGAAATGTGAAATAAAAACACTGGCAAATCTAATTTCATATTGGCTTGACAATTACTAAAGCCAGTCATATAGCAAAGGAGAGAGAGTAAAGGGGACGAGTCTCGTGGTCTGTTTTCAGTAGAATGACCTATTGCTACTGTTATATGAGTCCACATGGGTCTTTAAAAATGACACTGACTGAAGGTAAGAAGAATACATGTTTATAGTTACATATTTACATGGAATTCAAAAATATGCACTACTAAGCAACATGCAGAGAGCATGCAGACCGGTGAGGAAAAAACAAGACGAAGGTAACACAGTGGAGGTGGAGCTGCGGCGAGCAGGAGGCACCGTCCTCGACAGACACCCGGGCCTTCGGCCTCGCTGCTAAGTGCTGTTCCTGAAGGTGGGAGGCCAGCGCGGCGACATTCACTTTTGCCTCTGCTCCATATACTGAATAAATGTATTCTATACATTCTTTTATATGAACAACATTTCATTTGACTAACTCAGACTAACTCAAATGTATTTTTCTTGTAACAATCTTTAAAATTTTACAAAATTATGCATTATCTGTACTATACAAAAATGACTGAGGCAAAAAAAAGGTTCCTTATATGAGAAAAACACTTTTAGTAAATATTAAATTATACATAGGTGGACTGAACTCATCCAACATTTTCGTTTTTGTTTTCTTATTTTTGTAAGGCAGGGTCTCACTACGTAGCCCGATGGCCTTACTCTCATGACATCTTCCTATCTCAGTCTCTGAGTGCAGGGATTACAGCTGTGACACCTGGTCACTCAGCCAATGTTTTTTGGCATAAGTGTCCTGTAGGTACCACCATGTAATTACTGTTACTTTAAAGTGACATACAAAAAAGAACTATAAAGAATGTCATTTAAAAACCAAGCATGATGGCGCACTCCTGTAATCCCAACACTCGGGAGGCTGAGGCAGGAGGATCCTTGTGAGTTTGAGACCAGCCTGGGCTACAAAGTGAGCTCAGGGCCAGCCTGAACTGCACAGCAAGACCCTGTCTCACAAAAAGAAAAAAAACAAAAAAAAACTTCATTTAAAACATTGTTTAGGTAAAAATTCAGAAACATAAAATATTCATTAAAAATCCTCATTACTTTCACATGCACATGTGTATAAATGCAAATCAAAATAACACTGAGACTTCATCTTACTCCAGAAAGAAGGGCTATCATCAAGAACTCAAAAAGTAACAGATTCTGGCAAGTCCTCAAAGGGGGAAAAAATTCTTCCGTATTATTCAACATTATTGGTAGAAGTGTAAATTAGTACAGCTTCTATACATAAATCAATACACAGAGTCCTTAAAAACTAAAAATAGAAATTCCATTTGACTCAGTTATTCCTCCTCTAGAGATCTTCCCAAAGAAGTAAAGACATTGAACCACAGTGACACAGGCACAGTCATGTTTACAGAGCGGCACAACTCACCACAGGCAAAGCCTGGAAGAGGCCTGTGGGCCCATTAACAAAGAATGGATAAAGAAAATGTATATACACACAGTGGAGACTACTGGGACGTAAAACAGGACACACCTGAGTCACCAGTAGGAAAACGATGCATGCCGAGACCATAAAGTTTAGTGAAACAAACCAGCCACAAAAATGTAAATGTCACATGCTTTCACTTATTTGAGAAACCCACAGTATAAATAATTTAAAGAGCTAAATAAAAGGCAGAAAACAGAGACAGACCTTTTGCAAATGAACAGGAAGGGCCTCTGGAGAGGAGGGAGCGGCTGAGAGTGGAGGGAAAGCGCAAGTACAAAGCAAAGGATTGAGAGGCAGCAAGCCTCGAGCTGACCCTGAGGCTGCAGGCACACAGTCAGTATGTGCTGCAACCCGAGCTAGTGAGAGGAGACACGGAAAAACCCCAAACAAACACAGCGCAAAGAAGATCTTACCTACACTGGTCATCCAGACAACTAATCTTTCAGCGAGGCTAGAAACTGAGGTAGAATGTCGCAAGCTAAGCCTGTAAGAGAATGGGACACGGAGGTATTAACAAAACAGTAACACAATGAATATACAGTCAAACAATAAATACAATCAATACTCAGTAAAACAAATATTATTTTAAATTTTAGGTATAAAAGCATAATCTAAATGAAGTCACCTGTTTTCTTCTTGTTCTGCTTGTGCCTTTTGTGGGACTAAAAGGCAAGAAAATGAAACTGTAACAGACATCCTGGCAAAGAAAACATGCATCACATAGAGGACATTTGGAAACAAGAATTCATTAATCAACAATTCCTAAAAAATAATAAAATAAGCATCAAAGCCACAATCTGGATAGTACAATAATTTCCTTGAAGCTAACACAGTTCTTTGTAGCTACAAGGAAAATACAAGATTTGTTTTATTTCATATAATACTTTTATCTGAAAACTAGTTCTACTAGACTGTAGATTATAACAGCCCTAAATTACAAGGTAAGACATGACTCTAACACAAAGAACTGTGACTGTTTTAATTTTCTTATTTCAGTTCTGATACTGACAAGTATAAAATTTTGTTTGGGGAGGCCTAACATACCAACATACCTATAGTTATTTTAGATAAATATTTTGAGGAATCATCAGAAATGGAGCTCTCGTCACCAAGGATGTAGAGGGCAATACTCTGTATAAAGAGAAAGTGAGTATTATTTTTTTTAAATCAAGATATAAATTTTTTTAAAAATCACAACATAGAAATACTCAGCTCTAGGAACTTGGACAAACAGCATCCAATGAGGGAACCATGATCACACTGGCAATAGATACATGTACTACTCCGGAGGTTCCCTCGTGCCCTCTGTTATCCATGCCCTCCTCCCACACTCACCACTGGAAACAGTTCATGCTTTCCTGCTCCCGAGCTGTTCTGTCCCACAGTGTTATAAACATGGGGTCAAATGACCTGCTTCTGTAAGGTGGCATGACGCCCTGAGGCTCAGCTCTGTTACTGCATTTATCAGTGTGGTCTGTTCCTATTAGCGCTGAGTAGTATTCCATTACACAGATGTGCCAAAGGCTATCTTTTCAAAAAGCAATGCGCATTTGGACTATTTCCACTTTACAGAAAACTTGTGTATTGCACCCAAAGCTTTGTGTAGACATATGTTTTAATTTCTCACAGGTAAATATCCAAAAGTAGACTCTCCTTTGTTTCATAGTAACTGTATGTTAAACTTTACACGAAGCTGTCAAACAGCTTCCCAAGGTGTTGAACTGTTTATGCAGCCCGACTAGCAATGTATGAGAGCTTCCAGTGCTCTACATCCTCACCCAAACTTGTTCTTAGTTATCCTAGCAGGTATCTAATACTCCAACAGGTATCCAGATGTGTCTCATTCAGGACCTGTTTACTTACAAACAGGAATAAGAAATGCCAACAACAGTCATCCACTAGAGGAAGATAATTCTTGGAAACAGAGTCTTCTGCTCACCAAAAAAAAAAAAAGGTTTTCACTGTACTGCCCAGTTGCCACATTACTACATACATATCTGCAAAGTGTTAATAACTTCAAATCCACTTAGGAAATGGGAGGCATTAAAATATTTTTATCAAAAAATCTCTTAGTCAGCAAGTATTTCCATGCCTTCACTGTAAACCCCAAAGAGCTACAGGAGTATCTATTTTGAGGAGAAAAAAAAAAAAAGAAAACAACAAAGATAAGGCAAAGAAAAAGTCTCTAAAAGTTTAAAATTCTAAGCATACAACAAAAATAAAAGCATACTTCTTATCTTGATTTTTTTTTAATCTGAAAATCACTTTACTCAAAAGTTTCACAGCAATAAGACATAAATCAGGTCTTTTTAATACTTGGGAAAACATTAAGTTCCTTGAAGACAACAGTCCCTAATAAAAGATCACTTTCTTCCTTTGCCCTCTGCATTTTAACAGATGGTAAACAGGCAACGCCACCTCCACTGAGGCAAACACAGACTCATTAGTGAGGATCCATTAGAGCTAGAAAGGTCTGGGTCAGATTGCTGCAAATATCTCAACAGCCAAACATCAAACAACAAACAAATTAAACCCAATAAAATCCACGGCCAGGGCTGGTATAGCTCAGGGGCGGAGCACTTGCTTAGCATGCCTGAGGCACTGGGGATTGTCTCTAGCACTGCAAATTAAGAAATAAATAAAAGACCATGACAAAATCAAAAGGACCTCTGCGGATATATTTTATTATTTTTGTAAATACGTCTGTGAGCCAGCAGGTTATGGAGGAATATTGAGAGTATTAAAAACTAAAAGAAGAGAGCTCAGGCAGGTAGGCTGGGCACTGAAGCCAATTCAGAGAAACATTTATAAAAGGACAACGTATAGAATGGGAGGAAACATTTGCAAACCATGTGTCTGATAAGTCTTAATATATAGAATACATAACCTCCTAAACAAATAAATAACCACAATTCAAAAATAGTCAAAAGACGTGAGTAGACAAATACAAAAATTCAAAGAAACACTCTCTTCAATATGCTAGTGAAAATGTGTAATAAAGAGACATTCTGGAAAACAATTGACAGTTTCGGAACACTAAGTATACACTTACAATATGCCTACCGATTCTAATCCTAGCTATCTACCCTACAGAAATGAAAAACTTCTGCTCACACAGCACCACGGAGATGAATGTCTACAGCAACTGCTGAAATTGGTAACAGCTGTAACCAACCTCAGCATCCTGAATGGATAAACCAACTGTGGCACATCCTGCACGATGGACAGCAAATCAGCAACAGAATGCAATGAACTGTTAGTGACAACATCAGCCCATCTCAGAATCATACACCCTAACTATGACGGTGGCCAGGGGAATCTGTGTATCTGGTGAAAGTCACAGAACCATACACAGGAAGAAAAACTTTAAAAGAACTTTAAAAGAAAAAGGAAACCAGACAGGAACACCCCTCACACATACCAGGACTACGAGTCTGCTTCGCTCACAGATGCCAGGCAGATAAGGGTAGGGCGGCATTGCTTCCCCCTTCAGACAGGCACTCACCCACTGGGCGACACTCGGCGGCTCAGAAGTGAAGAAGGACGGGTGATGCATAAATCCTGTTTGACCTTCAAAATTAGACCAATGTTTAAGAAGTTCCCGGAATCCATCAAAACAATACTGTTCTAAAGAGAAGATGACCAATAGTGCCTGTCATTTTAAAACAGAGTAACACTCCTCTGTTATCCTATATTCCCTCTCCAAAATGCTTTGTACTCCGCCACAGCAAATAACTGACTATATCATTATATATAAAGTTAAATAACTTCTACTTTATCCTACTCTGGATGGAAATTTAGCAAATTCTTATGCCCAAAATATATAAAGAATCTGAAAAAAAAAAAATCCCCTAATTCCACAGGTAAGAAAACAGAAGATTCAGTGCTGAACTATGCCCCAGCTGAGTCCCTTTAGAGCACGCTGGTTAGTTGAGACTGAGGAGCTGAATTCTTTTTTCTATACACATTTCCATGTTACTACGGGAAACATGAAAATACCACTTTTTCCACAACAGCAACCATTAAAATTTATTCTAAAAATAACCTGATACAAAATAGATCTGTTTCAGAACTCAAAAAAGAAAGAATGAATGAAAGAAAATAAAAGAATAAAAACCTTTTCCTGAGTTTTTAAATCCTATTTTAAAACCCAGAAGAAATGAAGCCATCCCCAGTCACACAGCCCAGTCCCTGCCCCTCCTCACAGAGAACAGCATAAACCCCAGGTCCTCGCTACACAGATCGGCCGCTAAGCGAGGGTCGGTCCTTGTACAACAGGCATCCAGCTGTGTGTCCAGCTCCTCCGCAGGAACTGCTGCTCTGCCTTCCTGCCAGTGTCTCTGCCTCTTCCCCATGTGCCTCTGCAGGTCCCTCTCTGGGTGCGACCACCATGGCGGAAACCTCCAGAAGCCACCTCTGTCTACGCGGTGTAGGTCTTCATCGTGTTTCAGTCTGGGACATCAAAAGCTCATGTTCGTGGGACTCCGTGTTTCACAGCCTTCAGGATCTGCCTCCTGTTCAAAGTGCACATCTGCTGCTCCCAAACTCCGGCCAGAGCAGTCCCAGTGCAGTCGCCTTCCTCAAGGTTCCAAATTCAGCAGAGCTCCTGAATACCTGTGCCTGCTGCTCCAAGCCCAGGTCTGACACCCATCACCGCGCTGGCTGCCGATGAGGTCATGCTGCCACTTTAGGGAGGTTGCTCTGGCTGCTGCAGGATGCCTGCTAGCTGCCTCCCACTGGGCAACACCTGCCAGGGTGCTCCTGCCGCCCTCTGGCCGCTGTCTCCACTGTGGGTGGCCGGTCAATTCCACATAGGCCTGCAGCCCCCACCCACCAACACAGCCACCCTGGGAGCCAGTCCCACCGACTCACGCTCCCACCTATGGCCACCCTGCCGGCTCCAATTCAGCTTAATGATATTGTCCAGAGACATCCATTTGTCGGCCATGGCAGGTGATGAGGAATTGGGCTTTAGATCCTGAATATTTTACTTTCAAGAACAATGGCTAAGGCTCCTACCTGGACAGCACAGGTCTAGGTTAAAGTATCCCTTGCCCCTGGAAGCTCTCGTTGAGTTTTCCAAGCCAGAACCTTAGGGATGGTAAAGCTTTCCCTGCATGCTGAGGAAGTTATAGCTGATTACAAGCCAAGGAAAAACCACTATTAACCAAAATCTAACTGGTGAAAAGACACTGCCCCTGAACAATGGTAGGAAACACATCTGCTATTCACTGAGAGAGACACAAGCAAATACAACATCACTACACTATTCAGAAAATCTTCAATGGCACACTTACCTTGATCAATTGTGCACACTTGGCCAGTAGTTCTGACAAGTGTTGGATAGTCTCTGTAGTAATGGTCTACGTAAGGCCCCAAGTGTAAGTCCCTAAAGAATTGAGAACAAATTTAATAAAAGGTATTATGCATTCCCCACATCACAGTTAGGATTCAGCAGTTAAACTAATTCAGAAAATATGGTAAGGAGGTAGAAGATAATCAAATCTAGAATCTCTTCACTGTATTTCTTGCCTTTATAGTGGGCCGGGTATAACAAAGGCCACCCAGATTCCTTTTACTAGATAAATTTCATTGAGGTAAATCTACAGAAAGGGCACTGTGTTCCAGCTCCTCCTCTATTATTCATGATCTTCACAGTCATTTCTATAAACCTCTGTATAAAGTTTTGAAGATAAATTAGCATCTGGATAAGACCCCAGAAAATGAACAGCATTATACAAATGCTACTTATTGCAGAAAGCCATAAAATAGTTTGGAAATTAGTTACAAAGTAATTTTTGTGAGAGTACCGATTTGTCATTAAGTAGAACGGACCACCAGTTACAATTGCCTTGTCCATCTAGGCTAGCCTGGGCTACACAGTGAGACCCTGCTCCCCCCAACTCCCCCCAAAAATTAAGCTAGGTGTGGTAATGGATGCCCGTTACTCCAGCATTTGGGAGGCTGAGGCAGGCAAGTCACTGAGTTGGAAGCCAGCCTGGACTACATAAGCAAGTATACTACACTACATCAAATACTACTACAAGTACTACTACATCAGCCTATACTACACAGCAAGACCCTGTCTCAAAAAAAAACCTGCTATGTCTCAAAAAGAAATTTCAAATTTCAGGATTTCAAGAAACAGCGCGGAAATCAGAAAATGTGCTATAATTTTTAACTCAGAAGTTAAAATATCAAATTTCACTTCATTATCACCAAGAGTCACAAAGGCTCTGACAACACTTACTATGACCTTTTGGAACTAACAGCCAAAGACAAGGAGCTCAGCACCTTGCAAACAGCTAAAGACAACTGTGAGGCCAGCTCTCATGCTGTGCATCACTCTGAGCACCTGAAAAGACAGGGGCAACTACAGACTACAGCAGACAAAGCATAGCAAAAGAGCCGCCATTGACAGACACCACTCCTGTTCTCAGAAACAACTCAGACCAGGCGCCTCCGCAGACATGTGATAAGACTGTGGTAACAGTAAAGCACTACATGAACGCGAGTTTTGTGAAACAGCAGACGTTATTATAAAACATCTCCTACAGGGTAGCCAATCTCTTTATTAAAACAGTGCTGAGCAGGTCAGCCTCATTTTTTTCACTTTCCACTCATCTTAAGACTAAAACCTCAACATATTGGGGTAGGGGGGTCCTCTGGTATCTTCAAGTTAGTTCTGAGACTTCTAGAAAATGCTCTGCTTACCTGAGAAGGCAGATTTCAGAATCTTATGGTAACATGGAAAACAAGCCACAGAGGAGCCACGCAGCAGGTGCTGGCACACAGACAGTATTTACCTTGCCAACTGAACAAGAAGGTCAACAAGTGAACGGATTCCTTCTCCCATTAGAGTATTCAACTTCAGCTCCTCGTAGACAAGGTGAAGAACAAAAAATATTGCGGGTATATGAGTAAAGAGAAGAGTAGAAGAATCCAGACTGAGATTCTGTGAGAAGTCTTCATCCTTCACCCTTGAAACTTCCAAAGAACTCAAACATAAAGATCTATTCAAAAGATGAGATTCAACATTCTGGTGGTAGTCTGAATTTAGTAAATATTCCCAGTCCTGAGAAGAATAAAAAGGATGTTAATTGTCTATATAACCCTATCTTATGATGCATCCTTAACAAAGAAAACCAAATTCCCTTAAAACTCCAGTCCCATTTTAACACAAAGCCAATCTGTGAATATGGGAAAAAAAAATTTAAAGAATAAACAATTACAAAATAGCTTAGCAGTTTCCAGATGCCAGTCATGAGGCTTAAGATATGCCACATTCAAAAACCCTTTGAAAAAACCTAGTCATGCTCTTTCAGACAGAGGACTTATAGAAGAACCCAAGTACTGTATTAGGAATGAATTGAGAGAGAAAAGTTAAGATTCTCTGGTGCCTTTCTTATGAAGCCAAAAGTCAACAGTGGGGAAGGCGGGAAGTGTAGCTGGGCAGGCTTAGTGACCAGCACTGAAGTGTGTTTTGGTAAGAGGGAAGGTCTATCCTTCTGTGACTGGTATTCCACTCATCTTTCCATATTCCAAGATGTTGGGGCTAGTCCTATAACCTAATAGTCAACTTAAAAATTTCATATTCAGACTGATCTGCACTACATTTCCAACTGCTACTTTTTGATTATTCATTGTTCAAAGGATGTGATGATGGTCTATTGATTTCCACTTGTGATTCATTATATTATGTTCACAGAATACGGTTTGTGCTATTTCTAGACTTTCAAATTTACTAGTGTTCTTGTAAAACTTAATACAATGTGCTATTGTAACTAACTCTTGGATCAGATAAAGAAAGAAGCTGGGTGTGGTGGGGCTCGCCTCAGATCCTAGCACTTGGGAGGCTGAGGCAGAGGACTGTTGCAAGTTTGAGGCCAGTTTGGTTTCATAAGAGAGTTCACAGTCAGCCTGAACTATAAACCCTGTGTCAAAAAAAAAAAAAACTACAGAAAGAATGAACCATAAAAAACAACCTGATAGGGCCAGGGATTTAGCTCAGCGGCATAAGCGCCTGCCTGGCAAGTGTGAGGTCGTGAGTTCAATCCTTGGTACCACAAAAAAAAAAAAAAAAAAAAAAAAAAAAAATATATATATATATATATATATAATAAACAAAATAAAAATGTCTGCTCATCAAAAGGCACTGTTAAGCCACATGTTAAAACACTAATCAGTTTATATTTTTCTTTCCTCTCTCTCTGTTGCTTTCTCTCTCTCTCTCTCTCTCTCTCTCTATATATATATATATATATATATACACATATATACACACACACAAATGTATATATGTATACACATATATACATCACACACTCTTAAATATGTATAATTATTACACATTAATTTAAAAAAAACTTTTTTAAGTTTAAATAGATGAACATGTTACTCACTACATAATATATACACACATGGAATTATAACACTGAATTCCATAAATATGTGCAACTAAATTAACGGTACGTATGTATGGATCAGTGGTCGAGCACTTGTCTACCATGTATGAAGTCCTGGGATTGCCCCCAGCATCACAATAAAATACTAACAACAATAATACATAAAAATGAATGTTCCATGGGCATTTCAAAAGAGAAACTATTCTCAATACATGTATACAACAAAAAATTCATGTCTAGAATATATATGGAGCTCCTATACCTCAATAAATATTTTTAAAATCCGTCTAAAAATTAGATGAAGTTACAGAAATAGCTAAAAGCACAAGAAAAAGTGCTTAACAGCATTGGGCATCAAGGAAAGGTAAATGAAAACCACTAAGAAAAACTATTTCACACATTCAAATGGTCAAAATGAAAAAGACAGACATCAGCAAGCCTTGGGAAAGCTGTAGAATGAGAGGAGCTCCCAAACATTACTGCTCAGAGGGTGATACAATACAGCTCGTCTGCAAACCAGCAGCAGCCCAACTTCACTGGTAAATATTTAACCAACAGAAATAAAACAGTTACGGCCACAATGACTTGTTACCAAATGTCAGGAGCACTGCCATAGTGCAGAGTCAGAAATGGAAACAGCTGAGACAGCCGCCAGCAACAGAATGGATAAATAAACAATGGGGCACTCACACACAGCAACGCAAAGGAAGAGCTGCACCTAAGGACAGGGATGAGTCTCTACAACACTGTGCTGAATGAAGCTGACGGTCATTTTAGATGACGATTACAACATAAGTGAACTGATGGCCTTACAAAGCATAACAGCTTCTACCATTCAAAATAACTGTTGCTCAATATTAAAATAAATTTTAAAAAAAGCAAAAGGTGTTGGCAAGAGACAAACTGATAGCAAACCACAGATGTGGGAGACCAGTACAAGTATCCATAAATTAATTTCTATTGGCAAGAAATAACAATGCTTACATCATCAGATCCAGTCTCAGAAGGCCTTGCTTTTTTGGGAGCAATGACAGGAGAAAGTGATCCTTCAAAGTCAAACTGGAAAATAACCCCAAAAGAAAAGGCAAAATCATACATTTATTACTCTCATTTAATCAAATTAAAAGGATCCAGAAATCAGTTCTGCTAATTATAGAAACTGAAGAAAGCCATCAAAACTTATTTTTTCCAACCAAAAATTCACGGTATAAATCTTTCTTCTAGGTCATCATGAAGATGAAATTCGACCATAAAGGTGAAGCACCCCTTACGGCGCCTGTGCTCACAGGCACTGCAATGGTCATTCTCTTTGCGCTCCAGCTTGCATGACAGACCGGATCGCATCTTCTCAGGACAAGAACCTTCAGGCACATCCAGAACAAAGAAATACTGAAATTATCACAGCTCACTGGCAGAAATGTCGCACTCTGTACACTACGTAAATGAAAACAGAAAGGGGGTAAATGTGGACCCAGCAAAATGAAAACTATTTGAAATGAGGTCCATTTCCGCCACACCCTTGACGGTAACAGAAGATAGACAGCAAGGGTTTAACTATACGATCCTGCAAATAAATGCAAACAGACCTCGGCCTTAGGAACTCAATTTTGGGCAGGCACAGTGGCAGCGGCCCTGGCCCTCGCTACTCAGGAGGCCGAGGGGAGGGCTGCTTGAGCCCAAGAGACAGAGACTAGCTCAGGAAATACAGTGAGGCCCTGGTTCTCTTAAATAAGTCAGGTTTCTTCCTCCTTCCTTCAGACAAGTGATGGCCAGTCCTAGAGAGCTCTCAGTGATAGAGAAAAGCCTGTTGCAGCACCTGTGCCACAGGTCCAGCACTGCCATTTTCGACTGTCATACAATCAGTACTCCTGGGGCAGCGTGCCATGCATGTCCTTCTCTACAGAAGTAGCAGCGGTGGGTGCTGAGTGCTCCCCACAGCACAGAAACATAAGAGGGAATCACTCTCTGCCATACAGTGGGCACACTGATCTGCCTCCAGTGGCAAAAGCTACATAAAAACAACAAAAAGCTGAAGTGTTCTTCTTTGCCATCTAGAAATCCTCCTTCTATATATAAGGTTTAATGTTTTCCTATGTAATAAAGTATGAAAATACCGGGGATGTGGCAGGCCACTTTACTGCAACTGTTTAAGAAAAAACTGTCCCTGTTCCCCGAGTTAAGACTTCTGCCATGTGAACTGCGGAGGGCAAGTCTTTCGCATGCCAAGACAGGCACGGACTCTCCAACACAGTGTCCAGGGTGTCACTCCTCAGAGGTCACTGAGCAGACCCCATGCCCAGCCTGTCCATAGGTCCTGGGAGACAATGGTGAATGAGGCCAAACAAAACTCCTTGCCTTGCTAAGATATCATCCAGTAGGGAGGAAGACGGATACGCAAACAAAATAATTAAGTAAAGTATACTAACAGCAAATAAGAGGCTGTACAATTCTGCGTGGATATGGAGGGAGTTAAAGGTTTATTTGAAAAAGGATGTTCAAAAATCATTCATAAGAAAAACTTGACAATGTGCAGTTACTGTTGGTTAGTGTACCGATGAAAAGGAAAAAGACAAAAAAAACTAAATTCTAACAAAGTAAAGTTTTCTTTAAACAAATTTTACTGACACGGGAACTTTCCATTGATATTTTTATTTAAAAGGCAACATCAAAAATGTTTAGGGTAGTTACTTCTAAGTACAATAGTATAATTATTTTCTCCTTAATTACTCAATTGTATAAATCTTCCTCAGTAAGCACATACACCTTCATAAAGAAGACTGACTCTCAAAGACGGCTTTGCTAGCACGAGACTAAAATGCACCAGCAGGTACAGGACAGCTGAGCTGCCTGGACAAAGAATAAGAGTGTTCTTAGAATGACTTGTTCAGAGTGACCCAGCAAGGCTGCCCTGGAGGTAATCTCCAGAGCCAGAGGAACTCATAAGACTGAAGACCTCACACTGCCTACTTCGTAAATACTCTGTGAAGGCTCTGCAAGAACTGTTCTGGGGGCAGACGGTGAAGGATACGGTTTTACACCACTGGCAGGACAGGTAACTTGGGCTGCCTCTTTAAATTCCCCTAGAATCAAGCCTGCCTCCTCACCTACCAAGCAAAATGTATACAAAGAGATGGGCCTTGTCTGCAGAAAAGAACGTTAAGTCCTGAGTCAGAAGACAGAATCCAGTCTCAGTTTGGACCAAATCGCAATTCTATGATCAGTGACTCAGTTTCTTTCTCAACAAAACCACAACTACCATTAATCCCAGCATAACTTTAGGTCATTTTACAAAGATAAAATGAGAAATAGTCAAATGTGCTGTAGAAGATTCAAAAATATAATTACTAGTAAAATGTTGTATGAAATGACATACAAATACCATAAACTCTGGTATTACTTTAATATTTTGAATAAAATATACCTATTATTAAATTTCTTTTTTACATACTCAAGAGCTGTATTATCAACAGAACAAACATTACATTGATAAAAAGATAATTCATGATGAAAACAACTATTTACTTACGTTTCGGGTCCATGCTAAGCGGTCTGTGTTATAACCCATCATATTCATGAGGCAAATCACAAACAAACTCCACTCTGAGTGGTAACCGGGTCCTCCTGGAGCACTGTGGACATTGTACCACTTCACAAGCATCTGAACTGCTATTTCCTTTGGCAGGATAAACTTAATTGCTTGTAAACATGTTTGTACTAGCAAAAGCAAAGATTAATTTTAATATGCTTCATATGCATTCATTTCTTTTCCCCTTTTAATAATAAAGTTTTTGTATTATTACTGCACAAAAAAATTACTACTATGCACAAGACAATTACTATGAAAAGAGAATTTTCATTAAAGAACCAGTGAACCAATGCAGAGATCACCCAATCAAGCACTGGACGTGTGAACTAGATATTGAATTAAACAGAGCTTGCAAGAACGCTGAGGGCAGCTGGCTTTTGAATCAGAAATAAGTACGCAAATAGTGCAGTTCACCTGAGATAATTCTGATTCACATCAACTGCCCCAACAATTAGTAACTGCTTGCCCTTTGGCGCAAAAATGTCCTGGTTTGGATAATAAAGGTCACTCTGAAAAACATCCATCTGAACTTTTACTTAGAAGCATTCTTATATTTGTTGACAAGTTCAACTCTTTTTCGTTTGCCTTTCTACAACCAGAAACACTCTCTGCTACCTTCTAAAACACACTTCAGTTATAATGCAAGCAGACACTAGTTATTTCTAAAAATATCTGTGGTTGCATTTTGACTACAATAACTGGTATTCAATCAATATAATTATATTAATTTTTCAATTTACCTAAAAATTCAGAAATTTCTTTTAGGATGAAAAACATCATTAAATATGCTAAGACATATTTTAGTTGCTTAGGCTTCCTATTCCACAGGTTTTCTTGGGAGAGGCATGCCCCTATATGTAATCTCACTGTATGGTACTATATGTCTCATCCTAAGAAGCCCAAAGGAGCAGGGTGCAGTGGCCCACACCTATAGCCTCCCTACTTAGGATGAGACAGAGGGTCACTGGATCACAGAAGCTCAAAGACAGACAAGGCAAAAAAATAAGACCTTGTCTCAAAACAAGCGCCTCAGAGAAACAGAATAAGCATCCCCTTCCCACTGTGCTTCAGCCTCTGGGCACATGCAGCACAGGGCCAAGCATGCCCCAGCTACTTACAGCTTCTCCACAAAATGAAAACCTGATCCACTGGCTTCGACAAAAGCAAAATAACCTTTAGAATCCCAACTATTCATACAAATCAGCAATGACTCCTAACCTCATAACTCAAACTGAGAACACAAAGTCGAAGCTCACTCTCAGCCATACCTAATTCAGAAGTGGCAATTTCAGGAATAGTGATCCTAACCATGGTGCCATTACTCAGTTCCTAGAGAAAAAAATGGAACAAGAAATGGTAAAAAAAAACTTGAGAATTCTAAGCCTTGGAATGTCTTAAAAACAGATGGTGCTTTACAACACTGTCAATGCAAAATTCAGTAAAATAAGTCAAAATTATTTTTTCAAACAGAAATGTACTCTTAAAAAGGTGCTTACTTGTAATAGATTTCTAAAAATTCCAGTATGGTAATAATAAAAACCTTTTTTTTTTTTTTTTGGTACTTAGGATCAAATTCACAACCTCACACTTGCCAGGCAGGCACTTATGCTGCTGAGCTATTTCCTCAGCCCATAAAAACTAATTTTTATGCAAACAGTAAAAGTTACTATCATCAAAAGTGACCTAGTTTCAATGAAAGGACAAAAATCATAGCAATATGCAATTCAACTGCTAGAATATACTTGTTTTCAATAAATTTTTAACAAGAAACTTCAGCAAACTTAAGCAGAATTACTTAATAGTAAGTACGAAAAATAACATAATACATTTTAAAATCATGAGAATTTCTTTCATTTTTCAGACAGAATTCTACATCATGACAAATTTGAAATGTCACTCATATTTCTTAGAAAACTACCTAGTCTTTTAAGAGAGATACTTACTAGAGTTACCCTGTTATGAACGGGGTCTCTGATAGAATGAATGTAAGTTCCAAACTGTTGGAAAGTGCAATCTTCATTATAGAGAGACTCATGAAGTTTTGAAGAATCCCTCAGTTCTGGAACTGGGGACAACAGTACCACCTGCAAAGTTATAAATATAACACAAGTGAAGTCCTTTTGAAGAAATTAGAATAAAAAGCTTAACTTTCCTTTTTCTGTATATGGTCTATACAAATGACTGCACCTAACAATTTAGAGTCATTTTGCTCTATTATCAACTACCCTGCAGCAGACCAAGGTGTTCATAGAAAACAACTACGAAAGTCTGTTAAATAGTAAAGTATCTACCAGGGCTATATGTCAGTGGCACTGTGCCTGCCAGGTAAGCATGAGGTCCTGAGTTTGATTCCCAGCACAAAAAAAAAAAAAAAGAAAGAAAGAAAAAAAAAAAATAGGAAAGCATCTGACTGACAGCTACAGAGGCAATCCAGACCCCAAGGACCAAGATCTAACTGCAAGACAGGGGAGATGACATTCTGACCTGCTCTCCCTGCTCTGGGATTTGCGTTTGAGTGGGGGAGGGAGAGCTGGACAGGCTGATGATGCAGAGAAGCTGAGGCTAACAGGAAGGCGAGCAGCAGCAGCTCTGGCAATCCTACAGGGCTATAGACATGAACTATAATGGAGGCAGACATGACTCAAGGAGCTTAGAATCCATCCAAAAAGGGTTGAAAAGCAGAGAAATGAGACCACCACTTACAGGCATTTCATCTATAAGCAAATCATTTAAAATTATAAGAACAAGAATTATGTTCCTAACTCAGACATGAAACCAAAAAAGGCAAACAGCCTCTGTTATTAACTACAGAAGCACCTAATCTTAAATCTCTGGTCATGACCATGGATCCTTTTTCTACTCCTGTAATTTAATCTGCAATACATCTCTAAGTGAATCTTAACACTGACAGCCAATCAAGCCTACGATCTATTTATTACAGTCTAGCTTGTACTCCAACAGTTAACCAGAAAAATTCAGCTCCACATCTAGCAGCACAACCTGCCAGAGAAATGGGAAAGCCACTGGCCAGCATCCTAGACTTGTGTCTTCTGTGACTTCACAGCTAAAAATAGACAGTAGGCATTGTTAGGTTTATAGAAATCTAAAAAAGTAAAAAAAAAACATTTTTTCTCTTTTGTGCCATGCTGACATGGAACCCAGGACTCTCACACTGAGTTACAGCTCACACCATTATTTTATTATTTTGAAATAGGGTCTCAGGGGCTGGGGATTTAGCTCAGCGGCATAAGCACCTGTCTTGCAAGCGTGTGGTTGTAAGTTCAATCCCTGGTATCGGTAAAAATACGAAAAAAAAAAAAAAAACAGGGTCTCGCTAAGTCACCGAGTTGCCACTCCTTGTTCCTTCTGCCTCAGCTTCCCACAATGCTAGGATTGGAGGCATGAACCACCATATCTATATAGAAACCAGTCTTATTATGAAAGAAATTCTTCCATATCACATAAGAACCTCTGACACTTCTCCAGCTTCTCTTCTGAAAGTTCTGCACATGCACTGACTTGCAGAACAGCTCGCTGCTGCATCAACCTCTCTGACCTACCCCTGAATGTCTGCACCCTGATGTCCCTCAAATAGTCTGCTCTCCCTAGGCTCCCTAACTCAGAAAGCAAAGGCGCCCACCCAGAGTGCTCACAGAATCCCAAGCCCCGAGCTCACGGCACCTATTCCAGCCTCGCACACAACTAGTCAGCTGTCATCTGCACTCTCTAGCCTCACACACTACTTCCCTCATTTCTACACATCCGGACTTAGCTCAGACCCTCCCCACCTTCACAGTTCTCCCTGGGAGCCTAACCAATCTCCCAATCTTCAGCCTCCAGACAAACTTACCTAGACCATGAGACATCCGAAAATGCAGTCCTCAAAAAGCCTCTAGTGCCCTGGCAACTGCATTCAGAATAAATCACCTTTCTCATCCTTTCTATCGTTAAGAATATATCGGGAGTTTTACCACTTACTAGTGGTATGTCTTTATGACTCTGGATGAGTACCTTCTATGTACTTCAGTGTATCCTCTTGTAAAACAGGATCACATTAGTACCTTCTCAGAAAAATTAGCTCGGGCTGGGGATTTAGCTCAGTGGCTCAAGTGCTTGCCTGGCAAGCGCGAGGTCGTGAGTTCGATTGCCGGTCCCAAAAAAAAGAAAGAAATTAGTTCTTCAGGCATTTAAAGGTAATATTGATAAAGCACTTAGATTAATGCTTTGCATATAGAAAATGCCTGAAATATATTATTAACATCCCACTTCCTGTCCTGCTGCGCCCAACTACTTAAATGATGTACTTTTTAAGTCTTCAGTCCACAGATGTGTTGAGACTTTAATGTATGTGTTAGTTAGCAAATGGTCATGCAGACACGCAAATAAAAATGGTCTACATTGTCCTGCCTTCACGCATTGCCTTGTGATTCCTCCTTGCTTTTTGTTTGTTTGTTTTGTTTTTCAGTACCGGGGATGGAATCACAACCTTGCGCTTACTAAGCAAGCACTTGAGCCACTGAGCTAAATCCCAGGCCCCCAAATGGCCTTTTCATTAAAAAAAACGTACCCAACTTATCCTCTAGGACCAAGCCAAGTCCAATGTGTCACTCAGAGACGAGGCTTTGGTTCTGTCTCACCTTCCCAGCAGGGAACCTACTGGGTATTTCTGGTTCTTCATTCGTAAGTCTTAATAGCATACCTTAAGTTATAATTTCTTACACAGACAGAATCCACCCAAGTAAACTGTGAAATTTCCAGATGGAAAAGAATGTAACATTTTCATGTCTCTACCACCTTCAAAGAGTACCACACACATCAAAAGGAACGGGAACATACGGAAACCATCATTTGTGTCTGAAACCACTTATTCTACAAGCATTATATAACATTAAGTTGACCATGGAAAGAACGTTTAATAAAATTTCCTTAAGATAATACTAATTTTTGACAACATCTAATTCATCTCTTACCTCATCCAATGATCCCAGACTATGAGGCTTGGGAGTGCTAACACCGTCCAGCGGCGTGCTGGGCCGAGGCATTGTGTTGGACATGGTCAGCGAAGGAGCTGGCAGGCCAGGAATAAAGACCTTTCCCACCTGTGAACAACAGAGAGACGTTGGCAAAAAATATGCATTAGCTTTACTGAATGCACCATATTCTTAGCTAAAGTGTTAGGGCACATACAAGGCATGATCAAAAAATACAATGAATACCACAAAGAATTTTTAAAAACATTTACTGCAGTAAAAGCACATTGCCACGAACATCCCTCACTTCAAACACACTTATCCCACTGTTCGTGTCATCTTCTGAAGTAGTTCTGCTCCTCTTTATGAGCACCTTTACTTGCACTCTCACGGCTGCCTTCATGTCCTGAATTGATTCCAAATGTTTACTTTGCAGGCTGTTTTGCTTTTTTTTTTTTTTGCTTGCTTACAAATCTACCTTGTTGGGGGTTGGGGATTTAATTTAGTGGCGCAGCGTCCTCCTGGCCAGCATGAGGTCCTAAGTAAGTTCAATTCTCAGTACTTACACAACCACAATACATCGATATTTATTAAAGGCTTCCCATCTGTGCCAGGTTCACATTGCCAATGCAAATTAGAACCAGTCCACATCATCTGTGGGTTTTTTTTTTTTCCTGACAGGGTCTTTCTACATAGTCCAGGCTGGCCTTAAACTCCCTATGGAGCACAGCAAAGCCCTGAGTTCGTGGCAATTTTGCTGGAATTTTGCTGGCAAAGTGCTGGGATTACAGGTGTCTGCTACGACACTTGGCTCAGTACCAGTCAACATGAGAAACTTCATTTTCAACTTAATCTATAAAAGAAGTAGTCCTACTACATAAAGCACAAAGTGTCACTTGGCACTTACCCGAACCACGCCTGTGTACAACACCAGGTTTCCACTGCCTTCCAGGACCAGCATGGTATCTATTTTCTTTAAAAAGGACAAAAATTCTTGTTCTGATCTGAGAATATTAATAATTGTGAAATAATTTTCAACTTCTCAAGAAATATGCGTGCATTTACCTCCACTGGTGCTGCGTCCTTTGCATGTATGTTGGTGACAGAGCCAAAGATGAGCTGGGTTTTATCATTACTCTCTTGAAACTTGATACAGCTAAACAGTAAAATGAAAAAAGAAATTAACTATTAACACATGCAACAATGAGTCAGTCTTAAAGAGTATTATGCAACCACAGCAACAGAAGTGCACCCATGGCTATAGAGCACAGTTTGTAACAGCCAGAGCCTGGAAACAGCCCTAACGCCCATCCACTGAGGAATGGATAAAAAAGATGTGGGATTTTTCTACAATGGAGTAGTACTCAGTCATAAAGAAGGATAAACTGGAGACTTCTATAGGTAAATGGATACAACTTGAGACCATACTCATTAGTGAAACAAATAACACACACATGGAAACATCATACTGTCTCATTAGTGTGAGAAGCTGAAACAATCTATGTATATGTGTGTTTGTATTTGTATATGTATATAAAAAATTAATATAGTTATACTTCTGAATTCTTTTATAAAAAGAGTATTAAGCAGAGTGGAAAAAGGACAGCCTTGAAAGGTTAAACATTGAATGATTGTGTTTATGTAACATTCGCAGATGACAAAATTACAGTGATAGAGAACAAATTATCAAGGTTTGAGGGCTACAGGGGCCATGGAAAGGGCACCCTGGGATGACTACCCGAGGGTGGCACTGAGGAAATCTTTGAAGTTGATAAAGGTATTTTGCATCCTGATTGAAGGAGCATTTACACAAATGTACACATGTGAGAAGACTGCATGGAATTCTTAACATACACACATAGGCGAGTGGACATAAACTGATGAAATCTGAAGGCAGGTGTGAGAGTCATACTGGTATTCATTCCTGGCTGATAATGCACTGCAGCTGTGTAAACTGTTACCCTGGCGCAGGCCACAAAGAACCCTGTCACCACCTGAAACCTTCTGTGATCTCTAATGATTTCAAAGTGAGAAAATAAATCAATAAGCTTTGGACCTGAATAGATATTTCATGTAAGAAAGTAAGTGAATGTCTAACAACACATGAGAAGATGACCAACATCAGAAGGTATTAGAAAAATGGAAATTTAAAGCACTTCAAACCCACAAAGATGGCTACATTTAAAGATAGGATAATATCCAAAGTTATCCAGGATAAAGAGAAATGAACCCTCATACATCGGTGGCAGTAATGTAGAATGCTACAGCCTACAGGGAAATCAAATACTTACAAAGTTAAATATAAATACCATTCAATCCAACAATTATACTCCTATCTACTCACAAAAGTGAAATAATGTACATTTACACAAAGGTTCTGCTCCGAGGTTCATAGTGGCATAATCCACAACTGTCAAAAAATGAAAAACATGGCACATGCCTGTAATCCCATCACTTAGGAGGCTGAGGCATAAAGATCGTTGTAAGTTTGAGACCAGCCTGGGCTGCAAAGTGAGCTCAAGGCCAGCTTGAACTGCACAGTGAGAGCCTGTCTCAAAAAAAAGAAAAAAAGAAACAACCAAAACCATTAACTGATGAACAGATGAACGAAATGTGGTATATCTATACAGCAGACAATTATATGGAAATAGGAATGAATTATTCACACATGTTACAACATAGTGAGTCATAAAAAGTGAAAAAGCTTAGTGAAAAGTGAAAAAGCTTAAGCCAAAAAAATACAAGTCTGATTGTATGACTGTATAGTTGTCTTTATGCAGTGAAATCCAGAACAGGCTTCTTTAGAGAGGCAGAACATCTACAAGGTGGCCTGCTGGAAATCAGCAGTGAAAATGAGACTGACTCCAAACGGGTACAAAGAAATCTTTGTATAGTGATAAGAATATTTAAAACTGGACTGTAGTACCCGGGTATGGCGGCACTGACCTGTAATCCCAGCACTGTGGGAGGCTGAGGCCAAAGTCTGAGGCAGCCTGGGCAATGTGGTAAAGCCATTTCTCAAAAGAAAATTTAAAAAGGTCCGGGATTGTGACATACTATGAAGGTTCTGGGTTCAATTCAGTACCAAAAAACAGTAACAAAAAACCTGGATTGTTGTGATGGTTGCATAACTGTAAATTTACTAAAAATTATTATACACTCAAGATATATCAAGTTTATGGCATACAAACTGTTTCCTTAAAAAGTCAGTCAAGAAAAAAAAAAGTGAAAGAAAGAAGGGAGGAAGGATCCCTAAATTATTTTCATAAAATTGAGGAGAAACAGACATACCGTAACTGGAGCTGTGACTCCACTAAAAAGCACAAGAACTTCTGTCCACACAGGTCAGAAGTAATGAATACCTTGGAGGCCTGTGAATTTTTCTCTCTGCAACAGATATGTTAATAAAGAAACCATCAGCACGGACCCCAAAAAAACCTACCTTCTATTTACTGCAAAATTCTTTGAAGACACTCTTCAAGAAACTTAAAAGACTACTTGATCATGAAAAACCCTCAAGACAAAGCACACCTGTGTGAACTCCACAGCACCCCGTATGTGTAACGTGAGCCATCACTTCCTCCTCCTCACGGCTAACCTTTCCACTCTGTTCCTTTCTGGCTCCTTGTCCAGCAGTCATTTCCTCCCACTGTACTTTCAGCTTTTCCTGCTTTTAGTCCTAGCAGCCTTCTCTCTCAAATTTAAGTCCTTTTTTTTTGGTCTTTTTTCCTTTTTATCAGTACCGGGGATCAAACTCAGGACCGCCTGCTTGCAAGGCTGGTGCTTATGCCGCTGAGCTAAATCCCTAGCCCCTCAAATTTAAGTCTTGAAATGAGGTGAGTGAATTGTTAGGTGACATAATTTGGTGGAAGTAAAAATGGTATTATGGTTATATCAGAAAAACGTCCTTTTTAGATATACACCAAGGCATTTCGGGGTAAAATTTCATAAAGACTAACTTTCTCTAGTACAGTTCAGCAATACCAAAACTCTTCCTGACCCTTAAGACTTCTGCTAGCTAGTTCTATAGCTTCATTCTCAAAGGCAAACTCTTTAAACAGTCCAGATGCTTATATTCACTTCCCTGGCCCTCATTTACTTTTTCTAACCTGCTCCCCCTACCACTCCCCAAGCCTTAAACACTCTGGCCAAGGTCACGAGCAAACCCACTGCCCTCCAGGGACTCCTCCCTCACAGAGCCACACTGCATAAACACCTGGCAATGCCAGCACCTCTTTCTTCTAGAACTGCGTTCTGTGATGCTACCTGCTCCACCCCCATCTGACTTGCATTAGCTTTGCCTCTTCGCAACCCCTGCCCCTGAATTCTAAACATTCAGGACTTCAGTCCCTGTCCCTCTTGTGTCTCTACACCATTAGATTTTACTTGCTTGCAGGTCAGAGACCCAGTCCAGAACCTAATGATTATTAAAGCCCTCTGTTTAGGAAAAGGCCTACACGCTCCTCACCGCTCACACACAAGACGACTGCACACAATTCCAGACAGTTAACAGAACCCCTGGAACTGCACACCCCTGGAACGCACGCTACACATTACTGAAACTGGATCCACCATCTGTCCCTTACAAGCCTACAACTCTCCTCATCAAAGAGAAATGACATAGTAGACTGTCATCTCAGTAAAAGCACAACTGAGATTACAGCTACTTCCCCCAAAACAAACACCCAAAATTTATCAACAAAAATTCTAAACCCTTCAAAACATAAGAGAAAGCTAGAAAGTGGAGCAATAAACAGGAAAGTTGTAGGCTTTAACAATCATTAGGTTCTCAAACAGCAATGTTTTTCGTTAAATACAAAATTATAGACTCCAAACCTTAAGTTAGTGATTGTTTCTGTCCACAAATGATCAATGCACAACTCAGGAACAATTGGCTCTGTCTCTGGGGCAAGAAAGGAGCCACTGCAATTACTATTCGGAGAATGAGAAATGCTGTGTCTCTTTGGAGATTGGTTATGGCCCGAAAGGCTGAACCTCTGCACCCCTGAAAAGGAGTGCACCCCCAAGGCAGGAGAGTGAGCACGGCTGCAAAACAGACAGACAGGGAGGGCAGCACGGTTAAGCAAGGCAGGCTCATAGGACACAGGTTCCAGTAACACTTCCTAAAGCTCTACAGAGAAAAGCATCCCTGGCACAATTCCAATCAGAAATTAAAATTTTTAAAAAGGAATCGCTAGTTCAGTGGTTTATGGCAATGTGCTTTACTAACTTCTAAAGAATTAGAATTGCAAAAAAAAAAAAAAAAAAAGTTAGAATTGCTAGTAAAATAATACATCTTTTCCAAACTGAAGACTCATTTTCTTCCTCCTGAAATGAATTATTTATAGTCTAAAAAAGTCTACTCTAAAGCATTTTCCTGTAGTCAGATACATACAAATCAACAAAATTCTGTCCCTGTAGCATCATGTGTGTGTGTGTGTGTGTGTATATCAATCACAGAAAGATTCAGACGTATCAGAAGATATACAGGTGTCAATAATCAAAATAAAACTAACAAACCAAAGAAAACCACCACATATTTTTGGACCTGATACCCGTCCAACTGCTGCCACACACCGGTGGACTCTGGCAATCCTATGACAGCGTAAGCAGCTTCTCGGTCTGCCTCATCAGAGAGCAGGAGTGACACAGCAAACCACAATCTTAGTAAAAGAAGCACAAGTGGGACAACAGGAACTTCCCTAAAAATACCCAGGCTTCTCAACCAACATTTTAAATCCCTCCAGACATAAAGCAAGCTAGAAAAGAAGCTCCGTTGCTGGCGCTCTGGTTGAAACAGGAGCCGCTTCCACCTGAGGGCTGCCATGTTGGAGATGGACGGCGAGCGCGAGTGCAGGCCGGGCGAGGAGGCCGAGCGGCTCTGGCTGTGAATGGAGGAGTAGTTCTGGAAGGGCGATGCCACGGGCGAGTCGCCCTTGGACAGGCTTCTCAGGTGTGCTGTGAGGGAGCTGCTGGTGGCTGCGTGCTGTGGGGTCCCGCCCTGTTCGGAGAACTTCAGGACGGCATTCTCTTCCTTAAGCAAAAATGGAGAGAGAAAAAAATAATAAAGAAGCGACTTCCCTGTGAGAACGCAGGCAGACGTCAGGCAGTAGGGACACAGGATTCCTCCTCTCCTAACGAAGTGCGGGCCATCGCACAGATGGCTTGTCCACACACTCAGGGGGACTCAGCGCTGACCACGCTTCCCAGCAAGGAAAAGGACTCCTGTTCACCTCTGGCCGGACCCTCCGCAGAGCCCACACCGAGTGCACGTTTTGGACAGCATCATAGGTCATGACGATGGAAGGGTCAGTGTTGAGGAACACAATTTTCATTGCTTGATCTACAACGTACTGTACCCGTGATGAACCAAAAAGACCTTAAAAACAAAGCAGAAACAATCAGGCAGAGAACTTGCGTAAGCTTAAGCTTTATGAATCAAGTTCTTAAATTCCTAAAGATTCAGAGAAAACAAATCAATTAAAGTACAGGCCGCTAAGTAGTATGTAATTAACCCTGGATTTACTATGGGCATCAATTGCACTCAAAATACATTAAAAACAAAAGCATTAAAGTTTCAACTTTATATGCATGCAATTGAATGTTGAATATCTGTGTTGACTCAAACTCATCAGTTAAAAGTAAACGGTCTAAGACTTCACCAATCAACTTACTTATAAATTGTAATCAGCTATTTGTAAAGATTGACTTCTGGTTTATTTCTGCTGTATAAATCTGCCCTCCATAATAACTAATCAAGCAGCACTACTATTCCTACTTCATAGTTATACATGTGCAAAATAAGTTTTTTCCTACTGAGACCACCTTTTACTTCTAAAATACCACAGATTGGTTTTCATCTTTTACTTCTAAAATATCATAGATTGGTTTATTTGACACTTCCTAAAACGCCTCCTTTTCAGGTAAAATATTGAACCACATAAAAAAAGACTATAAAAATACTAATTATTTTTAAAAGAAATAATAACCATCAACCATAATGCCACCTTCCTATTAATATAGGGCTAAATAAAGCTTTACAGAGTTTTTCTTCCTGATTTGGTTTTTGTTTTTCAGAGACAGGTCTCATGTTTCCCCAGCTAGCCTGACCTCCTGGGTTTTCACTATGCTGCTGCCTCAACCTCCTGAGTAGTTGGGACTACAGGTGTGCACCTTTGCACCCAGCCTCCTTCACACGCTTTTACAAAATTAGAATCATACCATACTTAACAGTATTATACCCTATTATTCCTAATGTCCAACATCATGAATAAGCAACTCCTGAGGTCATTAAGTATTATTCACAAACATGATCAAGAGTTGTATACTATTGAATCACAGGCTCTAACAAGTTTATTTAGGTCGCCTGTAGTTGTCACCAACACAATACAAAAGAGGTAATGAAATTTTGCTCTGAAAGGTCAAAGAGTAAGTACTTTGGGCTTTGTAGTCCACATACTGACCCAATTACACAATCTTTCTTTTCTTCAACCTTTCAGAAAAATAAAACCATTCTTAGGTCACAGACTTTACAAAAATAACCTAAGGCTAGATAAAACCTATAAAACAGAAGAATTTTAGTAGTATTTCAGAATATGTACCTGGGCTACAGTTCTAAAAATCAAAATGCCAAAGAACATATTTCTTATCTTCAAGTTCTCATTATTTGGAATTACCTGTCATGTTTGGTCAGACTTAAAATGTAAAGATGATCATCTAGAAATACTTGTGAGAAATCATGCAAATCATTCTGGGCTCCAGTAATTAATGTTATTATGAGTAGGGAAAGTCAAATCTAGAATTTACACAGTATAGGCATAAAGCCCTACATTTCTTCCTTCCAAAAGAAAATGTCTTTAGTTCATTCAAGAATTGTTAATTATTAAGGAACAAAGCCATGTACAGGTACAGGTATATCAGTATTCCTCATTGATTTATATGATTTTATTTATTTATTTATTTACCTACTTACTTATTTATCTATCAGTACCTGGGATCAAACTCACGACCGCCTGCTTGCAAGGCAGGCGCTTATGCCACTGAGCTAAATCCTCAGCCCCTTATATGATTTTATTTTTATTAAAACAATTAATTGCTGAACAATTACACTCAACTTCCTGCTTTAATATTTATTACTTTTACAATAAAATTATACTTGTAGCATGCTTAAATTATCTTATTTTTTCATAAAGAAGTCAGTTATCTAACAAGCCTTTAAGTTTCTCTCCCTCTTCCAAAGTAAAAAACAGAAATATAAAAAAATAGCTATGTAAAAGAATATAAAAATACTCACTTCCAGATTTACAAACAAGTGGGGTTATTTCATCTAATGGGTGCAGCATGCTGAACATAGTGGGTAAAGGTTCTCTAGCAATAAACAAACACATCATCAGTCAAACACTGACACAAGATGATTAGGTCTATACACACTTTTCCTTACAAAGCGTTCAGATTACAAAAGCTAAGAGTGTTCCATCTCAAAAAGCAACCATCTAGCGCCAGGCTAGCTCAGCGGCACGAGCGCCTGCCTTGCAAGCACATGGTTGTGAGTTTGATGCCCAGTACCAAAAGAAAAAAAAAAAGCAACCAGCTCAGCTTTTTACATACTGCCTTCCACAGTATCTTCTACCTGATTCCTAGAAGTAATTTTATACATACACAGAGTGAAACCAGGAAATATCTGCAACCAGCAGTCATCTCATTACAGAACCCCAAGTTTTGGGCATAAGGTCATCTCTTTTTGCCTCTCTCAGTGGCAGTGTATCTACTGCAGCTAAGAATGAAACAGTCCCTTATACTTGTTTATTACAAAGGATAGACTTATGAAAAAATACTTTTACAAAGTTTTTAAGCAGAGATTTTTTTAAAAAGAGGGGGGAAAGACTATCAAAGCAGATTAAATTAGTAAGCAATTTTCTCTACACTTAGTGTCTACCTCTTACAACACACTATGACAGGTGCTACATGTTCCTGCCCTTCAGTGAGCTCAAAATTTGGGGGGAGGGAGGTGGAGATACCAGGAATTAAACTCAGGACCTTGTGATTGCCAGGTAGGCATTATGTCGCTGAGCTATATGCCTGGCCCTAGTTCACAATTCAGAAGGAGACAAAGTAAAAACAGCACCAGTAAGCATCTACCATTTACTGTGCACCCAACACACGGTACTAGGCTCAGTGTCAAAGCTTCCATACATTTAGCATGTTTAACCTTTGCAAGTTAAGAGGTCAATGACAATATTGCTGTCACAGATAAGGAAACTAAAGGTAAGATGTTGGGGACCAGAAACTCACAATGGCTGATTCTGCATACTTTCCTAAGGGATAAAATGGAGGGTTGGCACTGTGGGTATCACTCATCTGAGATTTCCCATTGATCCTTCTTAGCATAAGACCATCTACCACCTCTTGAGTCAGCCCAGGATCATTCTCTAGACAAGATTCTTCTTAGCATAAAATCATCTCTGCCCTCTAGGGGCAACCCAAGATCTTAATGATTTACCCGAGGTAGCACCATGAAAATAAGCCAGTCTTACTAACATTAAACTACTTGTTTATTCAATTATATTATTGGGGAATGGGACCTATAGATAATTAATTACCAAGTGAATATAGCTGGTAAATGCATGATGCTTAGATCTAAAAGAACTTTTGGGTTAATAGAGTTACTTCAAAATCAACACTAAAAGCCCAGGTAACAATACCCTGAATGGAATAAAATGAGTACCGGGGTGGACCTGGAGGCACCTCGTGGGAAGTACTTCGCTCGAACAGCAGTCCATATTTAGTGGGCCAAACATTTGCAACCTACCAGGCAAAAGGGTGCAGACAGACAAAGGTAAGAAAACTGATCCTCTCTTTACAAAATATTTTTAGGAAACATGTCAGAGCATTAGATTTTCTTCCAATTTAAGAGTTTTACAAGGTAACATGATAATTATTTTGAAAAAATTTACTTTTAACAAAGCAACTCTAGGGTAAAATTTAGTAAGAGAAGTTCAGTGTGAAACTCCCACCAGTGATACTTACCAGCACCAAAACAACACATACAATGCTATTTACAACAGCACTAGACATTAAAAAGATGCTGGTAGCAACAGAAAGAGCAGGACTGCTCACAGGTCTGAGTTAATAGAACTGCAATATTTTTTATTTGAGCCATGGTCTTGGGAAGCTGTCTAGAATGAGTTCAAACTTGTGATCCACCTGCCTCAGCTTGCAGACTACAAAATTATTTCTTGTGTATCATTTAAACTGAAAACCCCCCACAGAAAAGACCTCATAATTTACTTTATTAAATAGTTTATGTAAAAGATAGAAAACAGTAAGTCATTTATGTTACGTCAATTTATTTGAACACTTTTCTTTTTTTTTTTTTTTTGGTACCAGGGATGGAACTCACAACTATGCATCTGCAAGGCAGGCGCTTATGCCACTGAGCTAAATCCCCAGCCACGTTAATTCATTTGAATAAAATAAAAACAATATTCTTGATTATAAGACATTAAGACATATCACTGAAACTAATTTAAGAATGCTCAATGAGCCACATGCAAAAGATTGTAAAGCATTCACATTTACCTGAAATGGTAAGGAAGCTATATAATCTTTTCCTTCTATGCTATGCATGTTTATACACGAACTTTGCAATATACATATGCATTTTTCTACTTCGTGGCTGCCTGAAAAGAAAGAGTACAAGGTTTATGGGTTCTTTCTCCCTAAGCAGTTCAGTCCTAACAATACGAATTCTTTAGTTCACAATGTGAAAGTTCCTAGATTAAAACATTATTCTTAGTAGCTATTTATTCTGAATGGAAAAAAATTAAGATAAACATTTAGAATTATCATAAAAGAAATAAGATTTCAAAAACTTACTGTAGGTCTTTTCAGACTTATCCTGTGATATAATGAAGTCACACCACAACGCCTAAAATCAAAACAAAACACTTACCTGAGAAAACTGCATCTAAATAACAACCTTAACTAACAGCCAAATGATGGCACCCACGTAACACCTTCCCACCCTCCTCAACATGTACATTATGGGAACAAACAAAAATAAGGAAAAATAAGATTAGACTAATTGACAATTCAAAAAAATAAAATAAAATAAAAAATTTTTAAAAAGAGATTTATAATTTGATTTTATTGAAAGAAGAGGGAAGATAAAAATCAAAAACCCTCCAGTAGGGGCTGGGGATTTAGCTCAGTGGCATACCTGTACAAAAATGAGGACCACCTGAAGAGTTTAAAATTGTTATATTATTCACAATCTCTCAACTTACCCAATCTTATTGTCAGATTCTCTGCAGACTCAATTAAGAAAAGAATACTTAAAACTACTAACATTTTCCTTCATTTTTTAACGGTACTTGAGACTGGACCCAAGGCCTTTACATTGAGCTACATCCCTGGCCCTTTCTTTCTAATTTATTTTTATTCTGATATAGTTTCTCTCTAAGTCACTAAGTTGCCCAGGCTGGGCTTAAACTTGTGATCCTTCTGCCTCTCCAAGTGCCAAAATCACTAACATTTACTTTTGTTAAAGGCCTTCTTTTTTTTCCCCCCTTTTGGTACCAGGGATCAAACTCACGTCACACTTGCCAGGTTGGCACTTACACCACTGAGCTCAATCCCCAGCCAGGGCCACCTTACAAAATATAAACTTAGAAAAATCAGCAAGCATTAACTGGCCTGCTTGACACTCACTTATTGAAATTACTGAATGAAATTTTTATGTTGTTTTAGTGTGACAAAACACACTCCACACAAAATTGATCTTAACCATTTTTAAGTGTACAATTCAGTGGCATTATTAAATACAGTCACAGTGTTATACACCCTCACAATATATTTCCATAACTCTACCTTATCCCAAACAGAAACTCTACCATTTACTGAACAGTAAGTCCCCACTTCACCCTGACCCCAGCCTTTCTGTTCCACCTGCTCTATAAACTGGCATCCGCTGGGTATCCTGTTTTATTTAGGGTCACATACCTGTCCTTCAGCGTCTGCTTTATTTCACTTAACATGACATTTCAAGGTGCACCCATGTGGTGCTGTGCATCAGTATTTTCTCCCTTTTTAAACTGGAATAATATTCCATTGTTTGCATATACAACATTTTTGTTCATCCATTTATCTGCTGGGCTACATGGATTAATTCTGTGGACACTGGCAGGAGTGACCTCTGCAGTCCCCACTTCTGGTTCTTTTGTTTATATACAGTAAGTCCCCACCTAAGAACATTTGAGCTGTGAATTTTCAGATACAAATGGATCTCACATTACGAACAAGTCACAGAAGTGGCTCACTTGTCTGCCAGACACTGGCCATCCTGTCACTGTGTGCTTCCTGCACAACGCTCGGTCAGAGCCCAGGAGGCCCAAAAGCAACAGGAGAAGCGTGCTGATGCAGGAGACTGCCAGGAAGCAGCGCACACTGCGCATCTGTGTCAAGGTGTGTGACTCACTCTGTGGGACCCACCAGTGAGTCTGACTTAGCAACATTCTCCTAGAACAGAACTCATTCCTAAATTGGGGATTCACTGTACCTAGAAGTAGAACTGCTGAGTCATACAGTGATCCTAAATAAAACTTTTTGAAAAAGTTCAAGGCTGTTTTCCACAGTAGCTTTCTTACATCCCAAACAGCTATGTGCTGGGCTCCGGTTTCTGGACAGTCTCACCAATACCTGTTACTTTTCTGCTTTTATTATCATGGTATCTCACTGTACTTGAAATCTGCACTTGCCTAGTACCGGGTATGGTGAGCATCTTTTGATGGACTAATTGTTTATTTGTACATCTTCTTTAGAATAATGTTTAAGTCTTTTAAATTGGATTTTTTTTTTTATTATTTGGTGGAGGAGTTTTTAATAGTATTCTAGCAAACAAGAATTCATGAAGAAAAACACGCAATGGAACTGTGCTCCAGTATCAAATTTCCAAGTTCTATGCTGCATGTGGTACAATCTCAAATTTTTTTTTTAATGCCAGGCCCCTCAGTTCCTAAGGCTAAATATTTTGGTATCTCTCATAATTCTGATATTTTAAGAGACCACCAGTGACAGATATGTGGCCCACACTTGTAATCACAGCACTCAGGAGGCTGAGGCAGGAGGACTGCTAGGAGTTTGAGGCCACCCTGGGATGCATAAGCAAGCTCAAGGCCAGCCTGCCCTACATAGGGGGATTCTGCCTCAAAAAAAATTGAAAAATAAAAAAAAAAAAATAGTCCCATTCACATCTTGTACAATTTTGTTTCTTACCTGTCTTCCCTTTCTTCTAAGCACCAATCTTTCAACAAAACTACCAGAAAATAATGTCCCTGACAATGTTTCACCTGACAATGCTGCCTACTACAAAACTGATCACATATTCCATTTTTAAATCCTTACTACAAACTGGGCACGGTGACACATACTGTAATCCCAGCACTTGGGAGGCTGAGGCAGGAGGATCGTTGCAAGTTTGAGACCAGCCTGAGCTACAAAGTGAGCCCAAGACAAGCTTGAACCACACAGTGAGACCCTATCTCAAAAAGACCAAAAACAGGGGCTGGGGATTTAGCTCAGCGGTGTAAGCGCCTGCCTTGCAAGCAAGCAGTCGTGAGGTACTGATAAAAACGAAAAAGACAAAAAAAAAAGACCAAAAACTAAACAAAAGAAAACAACAACAACAAAAAAAAACCCTTGCCACACTCCTTTCTGTATATAACATAAAACCCAAATTCCTTGATTTACATGCAAGGTCCTTCAGTTTAGATTCACTCAGTACCCACTTACATCTCTCCACACTCTCAACCTGTGTGCAGCCATTCTGAAGTAGGCAAGTATTTCAATTCAAAATAGCATCTTCACAGAAAACACTCCCCTTCAGAGCGCCATCCTTTGGACTCTCACAGTACTGCAGACACACTGTTGCTCAGTCCCTAGGAAGCAGTACTTTGGTTTCTCAACTTAAGGCTACAGAAGCCATTCAGTGGCAAAAGTGTGTTCATCTTTGAGCCCAGGATCTGGCACAATGCTGAAGAGTAACACTTAACACTAACAGGACAATTCAAAGAATAAATAATGAACTTTGAGTCACACATTCCTGATGCCACTATCCTTCTCCACATTACCAACAATACTCACAATGTATTTTCCAGACCAAAAGGACTGAAATTCCAAACCCTATGATTCCAAATCTTATGATTAGAAATAATGGTAATACAAAAGAGATTTAGAATAAAGGGGATAACTGAATATCCATGGAATTTAGTAAAAAGCTATTTCTTAGAAAAATGAAGATGGGAACACAAAGTAAAGAACTCTTTGGATGTCATCAAATTTACTTTTCCCTTCTATACTAACTTAACTACATGGGCAACATGGGGAAAATATTATCTTCAAGAAGACGACTGGCTTCAACATTCCTAGACAAAAGATACTTTCATATCTGTTTTCAAAATTTCAAAAATTCAGTTTTTCCTTTCCAATAAATACAGTACCATGCCTAACAGGAAATGTGTAAAGAAAGGGAGAGTACTGTCCAACTACAAGTTTCAGTATTTATAAGTGAGGAATGCAATATTAGAGCTCCCAAAAACCTCTTCTCAACAGCCAGTCCTCTAATTCACCTACTATAAAATGTATTTTTCCCCTAATTTTTCATCCAGAAACCTTTCAAGAAAAGGTAAAGACAGTGAATATCTATTTCACCTAAATTCAACAACCACTAACATTTTACTATGTTTATGTATGTGTGCACTTTAGCATTTGTGGGCTGAGAGACTCCTGACTACTTGTAAACAAATGTATTTGTTTAGCAGTACCAGAGATTGAATGAGGGGCTTTGCACTGACTAATATTCCTGGCCTTTTTATTTTTATTTGGAGAAAGGGTCTCACTGGGCTTGAATTTGTAGTCCTTCTTCCTCAGTCACCTCGTGCTGAGATCTTATAAGGGCATGTACCACCACAGCTGGCCTCCACTTGTAGGTAAATTGCACATAAATCATCACACTTTATCATCCATTTCCTAAAAACAAAGATGTTCTATAAAACCACAGAACTATCACATTAAGAAAAAAATAAGTCTAATATTACCTAATAGCTGGTCCTCTTTCAATTTTTCCAACTTCTCACCAAAAAATACCTTTTTGTAGCCAATTGTCTAGAACCAGGAGTCAACCAAAGTTCATTTTACAAGGTTCAAACATATTGAACTTGGAAATGTCAGTTTTGCTCTTCTTTCATCAGTTTTTTTTCTCCATGATTTTTTTTTTTTATACCAAGACTCAAACTCAGGACCTTGCAATTGCCAGGCAAGCGCTTCTGCCCCAGCCCTCCATGACTTTTTTAAAGAGATCAGAAAGAATAGAGACTCATACTCTGGATTTGTCTGATTATTAGTTTCCTTGTAGTTTTTTCTTTAAACTTTTTTATGATGGCAAATACATACTAAACACAAGAAGACAATGAGTTCTCATCAGTCCACTTCAGTCATTATAAACTTCTGCTGTCTTAACTCATCTCGACCTCCAACCCACTCCTCATCTCATGGTACTTTACAACATAATCTTCGAGTCCTCATATTTCCTACAGACAGGAAGCTAGGTCTACAAATTCAAGGTAAGTGTTCCTGGAAAGGAAATTCAGTGGATAACATCAGGCACCTGATTCTGCGTTATGTTTGAAGCCACACAGCAGTCTTGCATCCCGCTCGTCTACTGAGCTCAATCAGCTGAGGTGGAGACAAAAAGGTGACTCCAGAGCAGAGGTGCCCGTGCTCCTTCACACTTAGCAAGTAAACTACACAGTGCACCTCAGTGCCATGATGATATACTTTTTGTGCAAGTGTTAGTAATGCCAGGCATAGTAGCACACACCCGGAATCCCAGCATCGGGAGCTGAGAAAAGAGGATCATTGTTAGTTCAAGACCAGCCTTGGCTACAAACTGAGCTCAAGGCCAGCCTGAACTGCATAATAAGACCCTGTCTCAAAAAGACCAAAAAAAAAAAAACAAGTGTTAGTAATAATTTATAATCTTCCTGGGATCAATTATCACACCAGAGGTTACAGAATGGTGATTTCCTGACTACCATTCCTTCTACATTTACAAGTACTCACTGACATTCTTCTGTAAGTAAAGTTTTCATTCATCACATGGAGATGAGTTCCGAGTCTTCCTGAAGACACAGCAAGTATTTAACTCCTCCCCTCTAATTACCAATTTTGTGAAAAGAGGTATAATAGTCAACTGCAATGGCAGCAAGTTCATTGTTCCTTTCCTCCCTCTGATTATTGTTATGAGCCCAACAATTTTTATATTTAACATTAAAACAGTCACGTGTTGAAAAATATTTCTGCATCCCTAACCCTTTACCAATTTTTGTTGACAATAACAAATTAAAGTATCCAAGGGCAGTATCAGCAAAGGACAGGGTAAAGAATGTAAAATGAAATTCTTATTGTCCTGCTATTAACTTCACTGCATGTCAAAATGCATGCCTAGCTGCTGGCACTCTACACTATTTTTACTATTTCTGTTCAATTTTAAAACAAAAGCTTTATAAAAGAAACAAATGATGTGTTAAACAGGTGATCTACTGTTGAAATGCAGACCTACTCACCTGCTGAACAGGACTGTCAACTGTAAACGCTTTATAAACTGCCAGTGCCTGGCTTTTACTCCCTTTGCTCCAGATCACCATATTCCCAGCCACGTAGAGTTCCTCATCATAGTCCACTTCTTCTCCGATTTCACTTACGCCTTTCCTTAGCTGCCAGCTTTCCTGAAAAATCAACATATGAAAGGCATGTTCAAGTATTCTTTTTTTCCCCCAATAGTCTGAAGGCAAGATTCATTTGTCTGGGGCATTGATCAACAGAATAGACTATGTGGGTAAATTATGCCTTAGAAGATTTTCAGGAACAAGAGTTCTCTCTCTTTTTTTTTCAATCGGTACTGGGGATGGAACTCACAACGGCGTGCTTGCAAGGCAGGCGCTTATGCCACTGAGCTAAATCCCCAGGCCCTTGGAAAGAGTTCTCTATAGTAAGTGTTTTATATCTCTGTGTCACTCTGCCAAAAATACAAATTAAGCTTTTTTCTATAGATCAAAAATGAAATCACATGCTTGTGAGACTAAAAGTACAGACTAAGTCTGCAGAGGGCAGAGAGAGTGGTACACATGGGGACTGCTGGGAGAGTTCTGCACAACGCAGACTTTTCTGCTTCACAGCTGCATACACATGCATTCGCTTTCCTTCTCTTGTCCCCCAAGATACAGCTCATTGGCATGGTGCCTGCCTGGCAAGCACAAGGCACCCAAAAAAAAAAAAAGAAAAGAAAAGAAAGAAAGAAAAATCTCAATTTCTAACTAATGTATATACATTCTAACCATATCCCAGAGGGATTTTAAAAAATTTAATAATGCAGGAAGGAACTGAAGGAGTAATTCAGTGGTAGAGTTCTTGCTTAACATTGAGCAACAATCTGGGTTGGATCCCCAGCACTGGAGAAAAATGAAAAACACAGAAAGGACTGATTTTGCAGACACCTCATTTAAGAACCCCTTATTTAAGAAATATTATTCTATCTTCTTATATGACATTTCTTCCCTCCTCTAGAAACATGGTTCTTAGCAGGGACCATTTCTAATCTCTGCTATTTAACCAAGTTAACATAAAATCTGATCCCTATATATGAAACAATGAGAAAGACTTTTGAAGTGAACCATAATCATAGTATACAACTTGACTCTTCTTATAAAGGCACAAGCTATCAGTATGTCCAAACAGGCAGCTGCTAAGACACGAACACAATGAACTCGATCATTTTACACTCACTGAAATTACCAAACCTTAACCTTTATCCTAGAAGAGGTTATCATATTCGTTTCTGAGTTGCATTTGTTTAGTCTTAAAACTACAAGCAAGTCAGATCAGTCTACATTTCAAAAATAAAATGAAATTTTAATAGCACCTTCTGTTTCTCATGGATTGTAACCTCTTGAAGGGATCCCACCAGGCCAGCAGCACCATCAGAAGACCATAATTCAGAGGCTGGCTGCAGCTGGCGAAGCTGAAGATTCAAAGCATTAGGGTGGTGCTTGCAGTGGTCTCGACCAAAAGGAACAAATTCCTGCAAATCCCCGGCTGCAATCATTGTTGCCCTTTCTTCATAGAAGTTCGACATGGGTTCCAAATATCACCATTATTTCTGTATGAATTGAAACACATTCTGGTCAGCTTCTAAAGTCTAATCAAAACCAGTTTATTACTACAGAGATGTGAATGAGCTGCAGTGGAAACACACTACTATATTTTTCAAACATTTCCACACATATGAGGTGCCAGCTGGTAAAACTGACTTTGTATAATATAGTATATGAGGTGGGAGTGGGTTCTTTCTCTTGAGACATCTACAATTTTTAAAAAATGAATTTCATGACATCACATTGAAGCTGTAATCCTAAAACACAGAACTCGATAAACAACTGATGTCAGCACTGCAGACAACCTCTAGGGTTTAAACAGCATTCAAGACTAATAAGGTTTAACTAAATTTTACTTAGATTTCTCTTTTAAGGTCTTGTTTTCTTTGCTGCACAAACACCCCAGAGCTTCTGTAGTTCCTAAGCAGCTCCCCTAAGCCTCAAAGTTATTTCACTGTGAATTAAATGTTATGCCTATGTTAATTACAAAAGGCACAAGATATAAAACAGGTGTGTTTTATTCAAGTCCTAGAAATCAGTCAGCACTGAGACCATTTCTAGTTGAGATAACTAAAAAGGTACCTTACAACTTTTTTTAAAAGTTCAAAATTTAGTTGGACCTCCTATATTCTATTTAACAAGACTCAAATATTTAAAAACCTTGCGACTTCAACTTGTCATTAATCAAGTTTGTAACGTTATTCTCCTACCACCTACGAGAAAACTACAGAATTATTAGATACTATTTTCACAGTACGACATCTTTTATACTGATTAAGGCAACTCAATACAGCACCCCAAAATTTTAGAAATGTGTCATTATTATGGCACAAACAGCAACACACTAAGTTGACATGCTATAAATCAAAATGTCAATAATGATTACTAGGAACAAACACTACCCTGTCAAAAACAGGAAACCAAATGCATATAGAAAGAACCTTGAGTTCTCGCTTCAGCAGCGAATATACTAGAAGGAACTTTGAATGGAGTCCCCACAAAAAGGCAGAGCTTCCCCAGCTTCTTTACAGCTGAGCCTCTGCAAACCTGTTCCGAGGGGCTGCGGGAAGCTGGGGCCCTCCATGGGTCGCTGCGTTTGGCTCTGTGAGCTTGAAGTCGCACCCCAAAAAACCCAGCCTGCAGGCCGGGAGTCTGCTCAGACAGGCCGGCCCTGAGGCCCCGCCCTCGGGTCCCCGCCCCTCCAGGTCACTGGGCGCGAACTAGCCCCCGGGAGATACGAACGTCTAGGGAAAGGCGATGGAGCAGCCTGCGCTGCAGGCCCGGTCCGTACCTGTGTGACTCGGGACGCGTCCGGCGCGGCGAGCCCCGGCAACTCCCTGGAAGCGCGGGGGCCGAGCGGCAGATCGATCACGATGACTCCTCGGCCGGCAAAGCTTCTCATCCCCTCTTCCTCCTTTATTCTGGAGGAAGAATGGGTAGAAGCAGCAGAGTACTGCTAAAGACAGGCAGGCGTGCAAGACGTTCAAATGGACGCGTCCATGTTGCTTTTCCCTTGCTGCCTCGCGGCGGGGCGGGGCTTCGCAGACGCGCCCGGCGTCCCGCGGTCCTGGAGCCTGCGCAGTTGCTGGGATGCGGCTATGGCTGGAATTTGCCGCCAGGTTTTTTTCACTTTCTGGACACCAGGTGGATTCTCCAAACGCGAGAAGACTGTGCTACCGTCAATTCAATGACTGGTTTAATACCCTACGCATTCACGTTTTTGCAGATCATGACCTTAGGCCTTGAACTGCTTCCTAACTCTGAGTTAGGCAGCTTTGGCTGGTTTCGCCTCTGCCCCTTGACCTACAGATTGGGGATTGGTAGTCCGAGGGAAGATGCTTGGTTTTCTCTGTGCGGTGCATGCTGGGGTCCGGACTCTGAAAAGTTGACAGATGTGGACGTATGCAGTTTTCTGTGTTCGCAGACACTTCCCCAGGCCGTTCACTGACCCCGATTAAGACACCCCTCTTGCTTCCTTGCTTGTGGGGTTCACCTGTACAGCCCCACACTGTGAGACTGGGAGTACACATATTCCTCGTTTTAACGACCCACCTGCTTAACGACTGTGCAGACTTACAACGGGCTACTTGGACCTAGGACTTGTTTTTATTTTTCATACAGTTGTGTATATTTTGTTGACAGAGCCTCAGTTGGGGGGGGTAGAGTACACCTTGTTTATACAGTACTGTAAGTTTGGTGATTGTACAATCGTGTAGCTTTATGTTCTGTTACACATTACAGTATTGTGTGAAAGAGGTACTCAAATAGAAGCAAAGTCACAAGTAGGAGTTTCCTTTGACCATTTCTTTGTTCTGAATATTGTACTGTACATACTATAGGCAATTCCTCATTTAGCAACCAGTTCTTTTAAAGATCTAGGCTCAGTAACTTAACTCGGTTGTTAATTGAGGAATGTCTTGTGTTTTCTTCTGCTCCAATCTCATTGTCTGGTACCTTATCTCCAGACTAAAACTATTGACAGACTTCCTACTGCCTAGTGAATAAAGTTCCAGTTCTTTACCCAAAAATGTAATGTTGGCTGGAATTTTGCATCTTCACCAAAGTTGTCTACAGGGATTCACCACACCTGATCGTCCTTCAAGGCTTCCCTCAAATACGTTTTCTCAGGAGGCTGAACTCCAAGACCAAGAAGCCTCTTTTAGAACTTTTTTTTTTTTTTTTTTTGGTACCTGGAATTGTCTTAGATCTTTTTGAGTACATTGCCTTTTGTCATTTACCTAAAATCAAAATGTGTCCAGAAGTCCCTGCTCTCAAAGGAAATCAAATTAATGGTACCTTGTTTGCCGTCTTTCCCTGCTCTTTCCCCTTTCTTTCATTCTCTTTGTCGTAGGCTCAAACTTCAGCACTCACCCTTCTTTCCTCAGTTGTACTTTTTAGGGAGCACTGGTAGCACAGTCTGCAGAGTCTTACGCTGTTATAGGTCCAGTGTATGCAGGTCACTGAAAAGATTCCCTCCAGTTCCTCCCCAGAGAATTCCCTTCTCTGCTCAAATCCCTCAAGGAGCTTGTTTGTGGCTTCAGCCAATGTCCTCTAGGAAGACAGCACGATCTACACCGATAGTCCCCTCCAGTGCTCCCAAAAACTCATCCTCTGAGCTCTAAAGCTGTGCTGTGCTTCCTACAAAGTGGTGGCCAAGACTTTCTGTCCCACACAGCACTCCAGTGTCACAACAGCACTGCATAGATTCATGATGTAACAAACTCTTTTGAGAAAGTATTTCTGCATCTGCTGCCACCCATGGGGATTCAAACCACAAATCCAAGAATTTCAGAGGACAAACAATTCCTGTTATGTCCATTATCATTCCATTTCCTTCGTGCTGGCACTTGAGGTGCAAATGTCCTTGTGCAGACTCCTGCAGGCTGCATGTCTGCTGGGTCCTCCAAACCAGCATTATTAACTACACTGCTCGTGAAATTAGTTTTGGACACAGATAAAGATAGACTTATAAAATCTTTTTGGTAGTACTGGGGATTAAACCCAGGACCGTGGCCCTGAGCTACATTCCCACCATTTATCTTTTGAGACAAAGTCAAACTAAGTTGCCCAGGCTGGCCTCAAACTTGTGATCGTCCTGCCTCAGCCTCTCAAAAAGCTGGAACAATATGCAGCGCTGAACCTGGCTTAAAGTAGATGTTTTTTGAGGATATATCCTCTCCAATAGGTAGCAGAATTCCTAATCTGTAATTGGTATTGTAAAATAAAAATTGTATAAATAAAATCCCTATTTCTCACTTTTAATCTGTAACAAAATGTATGTCTTTGCATGTGTCACTACTGCTACATAACAATATTACTATAATCTTTGTGGCTTAAAATGACACATACATTATTATGTCACCATTTCTGTGGGTCAGGAGTCCACTCTTCGTATCTCACAAGGCTGCAAATCAGTGTGTTACTCAGAGCTGTGAGATCATCAAGGCTCACAAATCTGAGAAGGTTCTGATTCTGAGGATTTGATTTGCTATGATTTTAGGCCTCCGGCCTTCAGTATTTTGTGAACTGTCAGTCAGAGGCTGCCCCTCACTACGGGGAGCCTTCCACAGTTATTTGCGTGTTGAAGTTCCACTTTATATATAATCTAAGTAAACTCTTACCTCTTGGGATCTTGAGTATTGGGATGTGTGAAAAAAATGAACAGTCCAAGGCTAGGGATGTAGCTCAGCAATACAGCACCTGCCTGGCAGGCACAAGGTGATGAGTTTGATCTCCAGGACCAAAAAAAAAAAAAAAAAAACTGTCTATTTAAGAAAAAGCAGCTCAAAAAAGTAGTCAACAAAAGATTTCAAGAAGCCAGGCAGGTGGCTCATGCCTGTAATCCCAGTACTCTTGGAGGCTAACGCAGAATGATTACAAATGCAAACACAACATGGGCAATCTAGCAACTTCATGAGATCTTGAAAATTTATGAATAAACAAACAAACAAACAAATAAATGACTAGTGATATAGCTCAGTATGAAGGACATGTTCTTCAATCCCCAGTACTGAAGAAAAAAAAAATTCAGGGCTGGGGATTTAGCTCAGCGGCATAAGCGCCTGCCTTGCAAGCAGGCAGTCGTGAGTTCGATCCCTGGTACCGATAAAAACGAAAAAGACCAAAAAAAAAAAAAAAAAAGTGAAAAAAAATTTCAGGAATGACTTCTTCAAGGAAAGGGAAATTTCTGCAATGTTTGTCTTTGAGTGGAGATTTCACCTACTGAAGAGCTGAGGCCTGAATTAGAAGCCTGAGAAAGGGCTGGGGATTTAGCTCAGCGGCATAAGCGCCTGCCTTGCAAGCAGGCAGTCGTGAGTTTGATCCCTGGTACCGATAAAAACGAAAAAGACCAAAAAAAAAAAAAAAAAAAAAGTGAAAAAAAATTTCAGGAATGACTTCTTCAAGGAAAGGGAAATTTCTGCAATATTTGTCTTTGAGTGGAGATTTCACCTGCTGAAGAGCTAAGGCCTGAATTAGAAGCCTGAGGAAGGGCTGGGGATTTAGCTCAGCGGCATAAGCGCCTGCCTTGCAAGCAGGCAGTCGTGAGTTCGATCCCTGGTACCGATAAAAACGAAAATGACCAAAAAAAAAAGTGAAAAAAAAATTTCAGGAATGACTTCTTCAAGGAAAGGGAAATTTCTGCAATGTTTGTCTTTGAGTGGAGATTTCACCTACTGAAGAGCTGAGGCCTGAATTAGAAGCCTGAGGAAGGGCTGGGGATTTAGCTCAGCGGCATAAGCGCCTGCCTTGCAAGCAGGCAGTCGTGAGTTCGATCCCTGGTACCGATAAAAACGAAAAAGACCAAAAAAAAAAAAAAAAAAAAAAAAAAAAAGTGAAAAAAAAATTTCAGGAATGACTTCTTCAAGGAAAGGGAAATTTCTGCAATGTTTGTCTTTGAGTGGAGATTTCACCTACTGAAGAGCTGAGGCCTGAATTAGAAGCCTGAGGAAGGGCTGGGGATTTAGCTCAGCGGCATAAGCGCCTGCCTTGCAAGCAGGCAGTCGTGAGTTCCATCCCTGGTACCGATAAAAACGAAAAAGACCAAAAAAAAAAGTGAAAAAAAATTTCAGGAATGACTTCTTCAAGGAAAGGGAAATTTCTGCAATGTTTGTCTTTGAGTGGAGATTTCACCTACTGAAGAGCTGAGGCCTGAATTAGAAGCCTGAGGAAGGGCTGGGGATTTAGCTCAGCGGCATAAGCGCCTGCCTTGCAAGCAGGCAGTCGTGAGTTCCATCCCTGGTACCGATAAAAACGAAAAAGACCAAAAAAAAAAAAAAAAAGTGAAAAAAAAATTTCAGGAATGACTTCTTCAAGGAAAGGGAAATTTCTGCAATGTTTGTCTTTGAGTGGAGATTTCACCTACTGAAGAGCTAAGGCCTGAATTAGAAGCCTGAGGAAGGGCTGGGGATTTAGCTCAGCGGCATAAGCGCCTGCCTTGCAAGCAGGCAGTCGTGAGTTCGATCCCTGGTACCGATAAAAACGAAAAAGACCAAAAAAAAAAGTGAAAAATAATTTCAGGAATGACTTCTTCAAGGAAAGGGAAATTTCTGCAATGTTTGTCTTTGAGTGGAGATTTCACCTACTGAAGAGCTGAGGCCTGAATTAGAAGCCTGAGGAAGGGCTGGGGATTTAGCTCAGCGGCATAAGCGCCTGCCTTGCAAGCAGGCAGTCGTGAGTTCGATCCCTGGTACCGATAAAAACGAAAAAGACCAAAAAAAAAAGAAAAAAAAAAAAAGTGAAAAAAAAATTTCAGGAATGACTTCTTCAAGGAAAGGGAAATTTCTGCAATGTTTGTCTTTGACTGGAGATTTCACCTACTGAAGAGCTAAGGCCTGAATTAGAAGCCTGAGGAAGGGCTGGGGATTTAGCTCAGCGGCATAAGCGCCTGCCTTGCAAGCAGGCAGTCGTGAGTTGGATCCCTGGTACCGATAAAAACGAAAAAGACCAAAAAAAAAAGTGAAAAAAAATTTCAGGAATGACTTCTTCAAGGAAAGGGAAATTTCTGCAATGTTTGTCTTTGAGTGGAGATTTCA